TCCTTTGTGCTTCTACGTTAAGTTGATACTTCGAGGTTCCCACCTTTTTTTATTCATTTTATGGTTTTTGTAATATAATTCCGAATTGTCTGCAAGCGTGCAATACAATAGACTAAAACTCATTGGCACAATGTTTTCCATTCAAGTAAAATACAGCTAGTAGTATTGATGAGCATATATTGTTAGCCAAAATTATAAAGTATTTTCACAAAAGCACTATTCAATTGTATATCTAATCTGTTTTCATTCAAAAAGAATAAATAAGAAATAGACACCTGCTTTTTATGCATGTACAAAATAAAAGCTACTTGGGTGTCTGCTTAAAATTATACTTGTAAAAGGCATAGTATGTTAAATTACTAGCCTTGAGATTTTATTTTTATAAGTTATAAGAGACTTGAAGATTTGGGATAATATTATTATACTATGTGTATGATATAAATTCTTATTAAAGGTGTGTATATAAATATCTTTTTATTACAAGAATAAATTGCATTATTCAATACACAATCTATAGTGCTGCCTATTGCTGAGAGTACATTTATTTGATACATATAGAATAAATAAAATAAGCCTAGTAAGAGATAGAGAGAGTCCTTATATACTGAATATATAAAAGAGCTGATTCGAGAGTAGCAGCATAAATTACTCTTTAAATTAATAGAAATATATTTTTTATAAAGGTGATTCATCAACTCACATGAAAGTGCTACGATTAGGCGTACTCTTAGACTTGTTTGATTAGCAGAAGCACACTATCAAAATGCTTCAAATTATTATTATTTTATAAATAATAAGCCAAATAACTACAGCCAATTTTTATGTCTTGTATGTTTTATATTCTTTACCAAGCACCTCTTGTCTTGGTGTGTTTGCTTTATTAACTCCATAAGTAACTTGGTAACCTTTGAAAGGAAGCAAAGAGAGTGAGAGAAAATATGAAACATGTGATACATACCTGTATAAATTTATATATATTTGATTTCCTTGTTTGGACTTATCCTGTTTATTTGCATGATTTCCCCCATATCTTTTATATCAGGACAGTTTTGATTTTTCCGAAAAACTCTTTCAAGACCTGGCCTTTATGAAACAGTAGATACATTTAAAGGATACTACAAAATAACACTGCAAAAAAATAAGCATATAGGTACTGAGTGTAAGAGTTGGAAAGCAAGACCAGTGCTATATTTTAAAAAGGCTTTCTGTTTTCATTTTTCAGTTTGTGTATATACAATATTATAATCAGGTACTTTCCCTGAAAAGTATTTGTAGTGACGAAAACAAATGATCAACGTGACCAACACCACACAGGATGCACCCATCCATCCATCCTCCTCCCCCTATCTCCCCCAAGCTTTTGATTGATGTATACTTTCGATGAATTTTATTGGACTAAAGTGAGGGAGGCGTCATCATCTCCCCATTTTTGTTTTTATAACTATAGAAAAATTTTCGCGTCCTTTGGTTTTCCTTTTTTTTCTCCTTTTTCTTTGTACTGACCGTGTCTACCGGTGGAGACGATGGAGAGCTTCTGGTAATATATGGGTTTATGTCCGGCCGGTCATCGTTTATACACAGAAGCCAAGAGGGTCTTCCGATAGCCATGATTCTTTTCTTATGAACGGCTAGCCAGATCACTTTAAGATAAGTATATGATTTTTTTACGTTATGTGCGATGCAACTTTGAATACTAATTAATCAAAGCCTGTGGAGTAGGCGACTGTAAGAGCTCAAAAGACGTTCATAAAGTCTTGGCAATATTATTTTGTTAAACTTTTTGAGCCGATTTTGGACTCTTGCGACCGACCGCTCTCTCTCTCTTTTTTTTTCTTTCTTTCAAAGGGGCCCGATGGAGTAGAGCCACGGGTCAAACATGGTATATCGAGCAAGTCCACAAGCGCGCGTGTAGCGTGTGAGCCCGCTGTCCGTATTCCTGTGTATTACTGGTTGCTTTCTGTCGTCTCTTCTGGTGGGCGCGGCTGGTACCATCTTTTTTGGGTTAGTTCCCGTTGCTTGTTCCCTCCCGTTGCTTGTTCCTTTCCTATGCCTTCCACGGCGGTCCGTGTTATTTGAAAGGTACTGTTGCTTGTTGCTTTTTTTTGTTAGTCTGTTGCTTCCACCAGTGGGACATTTCTGCCAGTGGGTTTGTTGCTTCCCACTGGTAGGCCCTTTCCTCCTACCAGTGGACCTGTTATCTCTCGCCAGTGGACCTTTTTATATAGCCGCCGGTTGCCGGTTGCCAGTTTCCAGCCGCCCGTTTTACTTCCACTGGCGGGTCCATTTATCTCACTGGTAGGAGACATTTATCCCACTGGTCGGACATTTGCTTCCTGTTGCTTCCTGTTGCTTCTGCCGGGGAACCCGATGGTTCCATTTCTGCCGCAAAATGGTCGGATATGTCGTGTCCTCAAGACACCTTGTCAAAAGCCGATAAGGCTCACCAGAAGCCCAACATGGGCGCCTCGAAAAAGGCCACACCGGGCCATAAGAAAGGCCAAAGTATGCGCCAGAGCAAAGACCAATCCGGTCCACAAGACAGGCCAATGTAAGTGTCAGGAAAAGGACCAAACTATCTCAAGACATAATCTAATTGTTTTTTATTGTTGCAATGCAGGCTCCAAGTGCGCACCAGAGAAAGGGCAAGCCGGCCCACAAGAAAGGCCAAAGTATATGCCTGAAAAGAATGGCAAACCGGCCCACAAGAAAGGCTAATGTAAGTGTCGGGGAAAGGGGTGAAATATATCAAGACATAGACTAATTGTTTTTTGTATTTAAAATACAGGCTCCAAATTCGCGTCAGAGAAAAAAAAGGCTTTTCAGAGACCCTCAAGGTCACTGTCAAGATTCAAAGCCAAATCAAGATAGATAGTCAAAAAAGAAAAGAAGTACAAGAAAAAAAATATAAAAAAGAAGTACAAAAAATATAAAAAGAAAATGAAAAGAAAAAAAAGATACAAAAAAAGAAAAAGCAGAAAAAAAACAGACAGAACAATATTTATCAGACAAAAAATCAGGCTCACGACTATCTCTTTATCTCAGATCAAACCTCATAGTCACTAGTACAATCTCCAAAATAGTCAAGCCAAGGTCCATTGCTATGTCCAAGTCAAAGTCCAAATCCAATTCCAAGTCTTGTCCAAGTCAAAGTCCAAATGTCCAAAAACTGTCCAAGTACTGTTCTAGTACTAGTCCTAGCACACAAACATATACAAACAAATAGAGAAGTACACAATTAGAGAAGTAGACAAATACATACACACACAAACACACACAATTTCTATTTTTCTATTTCTTTCTTATACACATACACACACACACACACACACACACACACACATACACACATACACATAGTCATATTCATAGTCATAGTCATAGTCATACAAACATACATATACACACTTATATACATACATACATGCATACAAAAGTAGAGGCGCAATTTCTATCAAAGTCCAAAATCTGGGCTGTACATCCAAGTCTCAAGGCCAAGTCGATTTCCAAGAAGGGGTCCAATGCAAAATTCCAAAAGCAAGTTCCAAAAGAAAAACCAAAAACCAAATCCGAGGCCTATACTAAGTCCTGTAAAAAAAACGGGCATATACTAAGTCCTCCTCTCCAAAAGGATCAAATCCAAAAACTGAGGCGTAGACCAAAACCTATCAGAAATGATCAGGCACATATTAAGTCCTCCACTCCAAAAGGATCAAAAGAAATCCGACCTTGAGGCCTATACTAAGTCCTGTCCAAAAATTACACAGGCATATACTAAGCCCTCCTCTCTCTCTAAAAAAACAAAAAAAACAAAAAAAAAGCAAAAAAAAAAAGCAAAAAAAAAAGCAAAAAAAAAACAAAAAAAAAACAAAAAAAAAACAAAAAAAAACAAAAAAGCAAAAAGATGAACAAACCGGAAGAACTCTGCATTGGAACCTGGACCTGGATTGAAGCAAAGCTGCGAACTGGAACAAGACTCTGGATTAGGACAAGGTATGAAATCCCTTTTTACACATATACATACAAAGCAAATGAAGTCTTTGATCAAAAACAAAAAACAAAAAAAATGCTCAAAAAAAGAAGCTCAAAAAAAACAGAAAGAGCAAAAAGAGCAATACCAAAACCCCCTTCTCTTATACTTTTCAATATCAAAACCCATCCTTTTATTACTATTCCATGAAATTGACTGGACAAAAAAAACCAAAAAAAAAAAAGAAGTAAAAAAAAATCAAAAAAAAAAAAAATCAAAATCAAAAATCAAAATCAAAATCAAAAAGTCCAAATTATCCCCTTTACTATGTGTGCTGTGTTCGGACAAAAAAAAATTAAAAAAAAAATCAAAAAAAAATCAAAAAGTCCAAATTATCCCCTTTACTATGTGTGCTGTGTTCGGACAAAAAAAAATTAAAAAAAAAAATCAAAAAAAAATCAAAAAGTCCAAATTATCCCCTTTATTATGTGTGCTGTGTTTGGACAAAAAAAAAAGCAAAAAAAAAAAAAAAAGTCCAAATTATCTTTTTTATTCTTTTCAATATCAAAATCATCCTCTTATTACTATTCTGTGAAATTGACTGGACAAAAAAAAAGAATCAAAAAAACAAGAAAAAAAACAAAAAGTCCAAATTATCCCCTTTATTATTTTTCAATACCAAGATCCTCCTCCTCCTCCTCCTATCACTCTTAGCTTATATTGACTGGACAAAAAAAAAGAAGAAAAAAAAACGGACAAAAAAAAAAGATCAAAAGAAAAATCAAATGGACCAAAAAAAAACCGACTGGACTTGACTGGAACCGACTGGACTCGACTGGACTCGACTGGACTCGACTGGACTAGCATGGCCTGGAATATCTTAGTATACTTAATTTAATTTAACTTAACTTATATTCCCCTTATAAAAATTTGAACAATAAATTTTGATCTCATTTGACTTTGATATTATCTTTATGAATTTTGTCCCTTTTTGATTTTGGTTTTACATTTGTCTTTAAAAATGCTATTAATAATGTTTTTTGGTACTACTATATTACACTTGAGAGTTGTCCTATTATACTTGTGTTCCTTGGTAAGATAAACATGGTATACTTTCTAATGGGGCGTTCATTCAGTTTACTATGGCACAGCGGGGTTTGGTCGGTATCGCTCATTGAAATCAGCTTTGAAGTGGTAGTGTCTGTAAAAATGACCCAAAGTAGTTTACTAGCTCTCTTTAATTTGTTCTTTCTTAAGATTGTTCTTCTACCGGTATTCATTTTCTTGTCGCTGAACTTATAATTTCACTATATAGCCAACCCACAATGTGCCATTAAGTTTGTCTATAATAATAATACGGTTGGCTGTTGTTTTATTACTACCTTTTTCTATTGTCTTGATTTTGTTAAAAAGAGATTCACAGTGGAAGATAACGAGGAACGTACCCGAGCTATCAGACGAAAAAAAAAGTTAATACGATATCTACAAAATGGCATATGGTCCTAGGGGCGGCTAAGTAACGAAAATTGCAGCATGATAATTTGAAGCTTCTTTGGGGATGGAAGAGTTTTGAACCTTTTGTGGTTCAATCATTAGCCTTCTCAAAGCCTCCACTATGATTATAGAAAGTACCAGTCTGTGCAGAAATTAGGCACCAATTTGCCATTCATTTGCTCAGCAGTCGTTTTCTTTTTGGCTAGAAAATAATTTCGTTAACATTAATTCATAAAAGTTACATCGATCGTTATTCTCTTTCTTTTTTTTTTAATATCTTTAAAAATATTTCACCTCTCAAGTCACTTGGCTTGACTCACTGCTACTGTCACCCATTTTTGGCGTTCTTTATGAACAGTTCTGAGTCAGAAGCCGAAGGAAAAGGCGAAATATGTGACAATTTTATAAGTAGAAATGTAAACAAGGAATCTCAAAATATTGAACGCATGTATGGGCCTGGGACCTTATGTCCAATATCTCCACCGTTCCCCGTTAGCCTTTACCATCTTTGCCCATCCGAGGTTGTGCCTATGAGAACAGACTTGGTCTGGTACCGTTGTATAGTCAGGTTCCATAAATGGATCGTCCGAGTTTCTAAACGAAATATCTCTTTGGAGTTCTTATCCTTGCTGAAATCCGTTCCCAATCCAGGTGTCTTCAGTACCCAGTTACTTATTCTTAATTCTTTCATGTCATTTATTTTTTCTTACATATTTATACCACCTTTATTCTTACCAGCTGTATTATTTATCTTAATCTTAGACTTTTCAAAGCTGTTTTCCTCGACTCGGTGGGGGTCTTTTTTTCTTTCTTCTCATATTTAGGCGGTTACTGTTTTTCTTTTCAGCTGATTCTTCAGCTCTTATTGGGTCACACATATTCCTCAGTGAACAAGGCCTAGAAAAATCTGCAATAAAGTATTTTCCTCTGTACGGACATGGTAAGTAAATTGGCTATGTGAATAAGTTCTTTGGTTACTGTATAGTTTATGCATGTGATATTTTTGTATCATATTAGAAAGACATTAGCGGTCAATAACGACTGGCAATCATATATCAAAATTAAAGAATTTAGCCATTCAGAAATAAAAATGTTTCGTTAATAATCAACTGTTGGAATGAGAATGAAACCTTGCTGTTCAGGGTAGTGATAATTATCAAGATATGGTCCTATTCAAACGCATTTGTAAAGATTTAGTTCAGAATGATAAGACTGTATCTTATTGGCATGACAAACCATGGCACCAAGATACAGAAAAGAAGCGAAATGAAAGGAATAAGCCGTCCAATATAAAGACGGCTTTTTTTTTCAAAACCGAGATGACATTCAACTTGAAGGAGATAGGTGGCATACTTGCTATCATGGGTAAGTTTATTTTTTTTGATTGAATTGCGATAAAAGAATCGAACACTTTCAGTAGTATAAAAACGTCTTTAAAGATCTTTTTTTTTCACGAGCCAATTCCAAACAACGTTCCCAATTCATCCTGCCAGTTTGGTTCTTGCGGAATCTAATAATAAATTCCAGATCATCATGCTTGCCAAAATCTTCTGATGAGGTTTTCTTGTGGCCACAGCTTGGTAAAAGTTCAAGTGAGCTGTCAGTGCTGTAGTGAGGCAACTTATAAGTGTAGCCAGGTCACAGACATTCAAATCCAGTGACTCAATTAGGTTGTATAAAAAATATGACATTGCAAATTTAATAAAACAAGAGTCTTTTCTACTATGACAAAGCGTGCTTTATTACTTAAAGGTTTCGGAAGAGTCAGTTGAGGATAGCTAGAAGATTCAGAGACACATATCAGCCATACACCCGTTGTAACATCGATCCCTGCCACTGCCTTCCATATCCGAGTACTTTTGTTTAGCCGAAAAGTTGAATTCTAATGCATGAAACACAATTTTTCTTGCTTTGAGTGTGCCAGGGATGTCGACAAGGGAAGCATCTACCTTATTCCACGATTTTTCATTATTGGTGCAAATGAAATCAACGGCATGTACCAAATTTTCTCTTTGCTCAGTTTCAAATTCAGGGCGCTCCGCGGTAAGCCGACAAAGTGTTCGTACTGTCGAATGTTCAGGACGAGAATGGACATACAAAGTGGGCGATTTTTCAATCAGAAACATTGGCAATGCCTGTAAAGATGATACGTTGGCATCAACTTCTTCGCACGATAGGCTTGAATTTAACAACAAGATAACAGCTTTTTGCCCATGAAATTACAGCATAGAATACGCCACATCCATGGTTGACCACCAACAGGTACGGATATGGTGATAAATGTCAATGGAAAGAGTTTATAGATGCAATATACCATTACCAACTAATAGGATTTGTACAATCGCTAATCCCAGGGGGACGACACATTGATTCTACCGGACGACATCTGGTCCCTAAGGATCCATTTTTATTATAATAGTTAATACAAGCCAGGATACAGAATATTCGGATCAAGATTTTCTTTCGTGCTTTAAAAGAATTAAAATAAAAGGGATGACTGGGAATTACTTATCAATTGGTGCCTTCAAAATTCTGGGAACATAAGTAGGTGAAAGAAAGAGAAAGACATTATATACGTAAAAAGGCCAATGAATAGTAAAAAAAAAAAAATCAAAAAAGATTGCGTCACAAAGTATGTAATGACAACAACTCACTATAATATTCTAAATAGCTGGCTATTGATATAGTTTAATTTTTTTTTCTATAGCCAAGTCTAAATTCAGGGCGTAAACGGCTATTAATCGAATATAAAGTATTTTTTCAGGACACGCCATTTTGCCCTAAAGGATTAAAGACACCAGTCCCACAGTCATGGTCTGGTTAAATAGAGGCGTCGTTCCCCACCAGAAAACATCGGGTCCGTAAGATCGCTGTATATATATTTGTGTGTGTGTGTGTGTATCTATTATGTATATCTTCTCATGTTTCAATTCTTAAGCTTTTGGCTATAACCATTAATGACTAAATTGTATATTGCAAATAGGTCATCTTTTTGCATGATCTCCTTATTATCAGAGGTCCAAACATTTATTTGTAGGAGTGTATATATGTATATGTTTGTGTATATGTTTATGCTTGTTCTGTGTGCGTGTGCTTTTTTCTTTTCTTTTTCAGGTTAAGAGCCCAAACGCTGTCCTCTTCCCCAGCTGTTTCCAAAAATTGATGATTGTTGCTGTTGCTGTTGCTGCTGCTGTCTTTGCTGACCAGGTGTGTGAATACCACCCATGGAACCAGTAGCAAATCCGCGAGTTCCCCTATTGACGCCTGGGAATATACGTTGAAGCCATCCAGGTGTGCTCAAATAATTCCTGCCTCCCTGACTACTACCACCAGTTGGAGAGCCAGAAAGGTAGTAGTAAGCATGGCTGGCACCAATACCTGCCAACGATGCCCAGGGTACAGCACCACTGGACAACAAGTCATAGGCCACCAGTACCCAAGGTAAGTACAATGCCTAACAATGACAATGGCAATTAAAAGCATTATTATTATCATTTTAATGTTTGTAAGTAATTGTGTCCAAGGTACTTCTTTTATATATATATGTATATACGGATCTCTTTTGCTCACACATTAAGATTCCTTTTTTTTTTCTAAGTTTTGTTTCTTTATTTCCTCTTAATGTTCCTTCTTTTGCTATTGGTACTATTGTAAGTATTATAGCTTACTTTGAATCTGAGGCCAAACATAAATGTCATCATGGTTTCCTTGTTGTGTTGGGACCACAGATAGGCCACGGCCAACAAAAGACCGTCGCTGAGAACAAAGAGTTCGAGGAAGTATGCGGCAATCAATTGGATGAATCCGACGATAAAATGAAAGTAAACGTAATCGGCTGTACGTCCCATGAATACTTGAGTCTCGAGATCGTTTGAATAGCGATAGAGAAAAAAGATGTTCATTGCAAACGAGATATTGACACGATTCACAAAGAATGCAGTTACCAGTCGCCAGAGCTATAGATATATTATGTATGTATGTATATGTTTGGTTATTGTTGATAAAGATTATTTAAAGCATTTAATTAAATATAATAATAAAAGAAGTATTGGTATATGTGGTTTATTTTCATTTCGTTAAAATATGTACATATGTACATATGTATAAAAAGAGGAATTAAAGAATGAAATAAAGAGAGGAGAGGATAAGAAGCACACTGTACCTGTAACTTTGCCACACCATGCCAATAGAGAATGAGATATGAGATGTTGAAAAGAGACAGAGCAGGTGCAACGGTGAGGACGATGGAGAGAGTAAGGAGTGCCTTTGTGACTGGTGGTACGGAAGCATACCATTGCATTGCCTCATTGGTGATGGAGGGTTGTGGTGGAGGAGGCATCTCTCTTGAACGCGTATGGATTTACTTATTGCTTAAGAGAATTGAGTTTTTTTTTTTTTTTGGAAAAAAAGGGATATATTATATATATTATATACATAATATAAAATAATATAAAATATATATATATAAAATGGTCTGTGTGACGATTGACAAATATAGTTTTTGGTTTTTGGTTTTTGGCTTTACGTATACTTGATATTATATAAATAAATACACCCACCCACACACACACATATATATATATAGTGAATATGAATATTGAAACGGTTTTTGCAGTGTATTGTAGTGTAGTGTAGTGTATTATTATTATTATTATTATTATTATTATTATTATTATTAGTATTATATATAATAGGAATGATTTGTAAATTTGAATTTGAATTTAAATGTGAATGTGAATGTGAATGTGTATATAGATACATAGATACGTTTGTGTATATAAATGTATATGTGTGTATGCCTTTTAGTCGTATTTTAGAGAGGAGGGCCACCGTCTTCACTTGTGTCCATGGAGGTGGTACGCATATATTCAGATGGACGACGTGCTTTGATATTAGCAAGTTGGAGTGGAGAGCGGGATCGGATACTACTGGGTGAAGAGGGTCGGCTGGTCATAACCGAATCGCGGTGAATTAAATGAGAAGGGGGGATAGTGGAGCTGTACGAAGGTGGGGGATTGAGAAGTGGAGTAACAAGTGACCGACAAGATTGTAGTCTAGCTTCCAAGCTCTACAAAAGAACAATATATATATATATATATATATAATATAAGAATAAAAAAACAAAAAAAACATGCTCTTTTTATTTTTATTTTACTATTTTATTAAAAACTTACCCGTACACGGCCGACCATTTCCTGAACCATCTTGACGGGATTGGAACTTGCAGCCGAAAGGGGTGCTCCGTTGGACGTCTTGGGGATCCGGGTGCGGTTTGTGGTGCGTGAATATGGTTCGTAGTAGTGCCCACTTGCGCGATCAGGGGTTGTTGAGCGAGCCGCACTTGCAAGGTGAAGTTGGTGTTGATGTTGAAGTTCACCACACTTCTTTTCAGAATTCTCGAGCTTATTTTCAAGTTCCTGCAGAGCATCAGCCTGCTTAGCCGACTTGTCCCGCATCACCGCCAGTTCGTGGTGAACCTCTGGTTAAATAAGAGGATATTAGTAAGTTATTCATTATGGGTTATGTATTATTTTCATTGTTTATATACATATATGAATAGTAGTAGCAATAGTAGTGATGGTGGTTATAACAAGATAAACTATATCCACACACACATACACAAACACAAGCACAAGCACAAGCACAAACACAAACACAGACACAAATATAAATATAAATATAAATATAAATATTTACTTACCATTAAGTTCATCTCTTAACCGTTGAGCTTGTTCTGTCAAATTATCTTTGGTGGCAATTTCATTTTCAAGAATGACGTTCCGTTCAATTGCTTTGTTCATCTTGACTTCTAGATCAGACAATGAGGATGTGGCAGCTCTAACAAAAAGAATAAGAAGGAATGATAGTCATTATTTTATAAAATCCAAAGCAGACAAACAAAACATATGTTAACATACCTTTCGGTTCTTTCAAGATCATCATTGTCTAGTTCAAGCTCGAGTATCTTTTTGCGAAACATCTCTTCGGTTGCCCGGAGTATATCTATCTCTCGTTGCATCTGCATCATCGTCATACTCTGTTCATGTTTAGCCTGGGTGAATTTGCCTTTCCACTCGTCAGCCTCACGTTTGGAGTATTCACATCTCGATTTGAGATCATTGTAGGCCTTTTCAGTCGTCTGGAGTTCCTTTTCTAGTTCTTCTTCTAGTTCTCTACTCGAGACCTGGAATTCGTCCAGCGCTGCACGAGTGTCCTGAAGTGTGTTTTCAAGGTTCTCGGCATGTGCACGATAGTATTCGAGTTCATCCTGAGTTGAGCTAAACTGCCTGTTTGTTTGTTTGAGTTGATATATTTATATATAATTTTGTATTATACAAAGAAGAAGAAACAAAAGAGGTGCTCAGCGAAACATAGACAGAATAATAGGATAAAGAATAATATAATTTGTAATTTTTGAAAGTGGGTTGCTGGCTGTCAACCTACATGATGCGTGATGACATTGAAGACATGTCGACAGCCATTCCACTATGCGGAGAGTATGTACAAAATTAGAGAGAGAGAGAGAGAGAGAGAGAGAGAGAGAGAGAGAGAGAGAGAGAGAGAGAGAGAGAGAGAGAGAGAGAGAGAGAGTGAAAGAGAAAGAGAGTGAAAGAAAGAGGTCAAAATCAAATTTGAACCAAAATAAGTAAAAAAATAAAAAATAAAAAAGATAAGGGGTGAATATGATAGGTAGGCAAAAGAGAGAGAGAGAGAGAAAATTCCAAACTTAATACATGTACAAAATGACGTCTTTATTTTCTATTTTTATTATTTTAAACATGTACACACAAGAAAGACAGAAAAAAGAAAGAGAATGATATTTAAAGGGATAAAGATAATATAATATAATTTATGTATATATATATTTTGTATGTGTGTGTGTGTATATAGAAAGAGAGAAGGAGAGAGATAAAGAGCTTTATATACATTCACCACTTTGTTGCCAATGGATTAACAAGATTCTGAGTCACGGCATGATATTGTGTTCGAAGTAACTGACGGGATCGCTCTGTCGATGGGTCACCAATCCATTCACTAAACAAGCAAACATATATATATATATATATAAGCAAATACACACATAGACACACACACACACAAAATATATAACAATGGAAGATGTAGAATATACAAATCAAATAAACACCAACACCACCAACACCAACACCAACACCAACACCAAATATCACTTACTTATAGATTGCAACGATTGCTTCATTTTGTTCAGGAAGAACTCCATCTACAGATCGATAAATGTTTTCGACATGGTTAACCCAGTCCTTGGCATTGACTGTCTCGACTGGTGGAGGAGCCAGTTGACCTCCTCCATTAGCGCAACCACCTGGACAGGCCATGACTTCAACATAGTGATATTGACATTTGTTGGTCTTGATTTTGCGTACAATATTCTGAATGTTACGGAATCCATATGCGGTGGCAAATTTCAACAACACCTGACCATCAACAGTCTCGAGACTGTATTCCCGGACATCTGCGTTTCTGCCTATCCTGACCACAACTTGGTCAGACTGTGAAGGGTCACTAGGTAACTGGATTCCAAACAGCTCGCGGGCTGCTGTAGCCATAATGTATTCCATCTGTCCACCTGATGAAGATCCAGCACTACCGTACAGAGTTTCTGAAGGGTTCAACAGCGCCTTTGTGAATCTGTAAATATAAATATAAATATTTAAATATATATAAAGTATTAGGAAACAATACATTGCACAAATCATTTGAAACAAAATGAAAAAGGCTATCTCTCTTTCTTTTTCTTCTTTATATATAAATAAAAAGTCATATACTTGCATTGTGTCAAGAGGAGCTTCGAGAAGTTGATTGAAATCGACATTTTGTTCGCCAAACATCTTTTGTACTTCTCCGGTTGTTAACACACAGTCCACTTCACGCGTATCGAATTCTTGCATAAAAAAGTCTGGTCGACTTGCTTCAAGCTTCTTGTCATAACAGGGCATAATTGCCACATGGTAAATCAAATTAGGTCTATATATGTACAAGTACACACACACACACACACAGAGAGATACATGCATATATGTTGGTTATCACAATATTTGTTATGACAGAATTATATACACTTCCACACTTCCACACTTCCGCACTCACTCACTCGCTCACTCACTCACTCGTAAAAAAAAATAACAGCAAGAACAGCTCACCTGGTATTGACCTTTGTGGCCAAATAATCCTTTACTAATGTACCCATCATCTGCTGAGGTGACTTTGTATTACTGATGTGGGGTAATACCTCTCCATGGGTCTTTTCAGCGTAACACACCCAGCCAGGACAAGACGATGCCAGCATTGGAAGATGTTCTTGAGACTTTGCTTTTAACCCACCGGCACCACCACGACGCCGAGATGCTGCTGTTGTTCCTCCTCCTGCTACTGGTGTGGCACTATTTGTGACAATTGGATCTGATCCACCTGTGGCTGCGGTTGCACTCTTGTAACGTTCGACAAATTCTCTGGCTGATTCGACTAGAGAGAGATCTCGGGCAAATGAAATGTCTACTAGGTGGTGGCAGCCGAGTTGCTTAAAAAAGTATGTCAATCGTTTGTGAATCTGGAGTGGACTGAGGTTGTAGTGGGCGGCTAGAGAAGCGCGGGATTGAGGCGATAGAGATACCACAATGGTCCGGTACTTGTCAGGTGTGTTTTGTTCAAGTGCTAGTTGATTAGCCTTTATGATTCCATAAAGCTCTTCTTGAGACTGCATACTGATCAATACACTCTCTGCAGAAGTAACACATCCACTTGATGCCAGAAATAATAATAAAATGCAATGGTATTTGTAAGTGAAATCGATTAATTATTTTAATTCATTTCATTTTATATAAGAAAATAGAGTCAATTCATAAACTTATTATTGTAATTATTACCTGCAAGCCAGACAGTCATTCAAACTGATGGCTGCCTTTTCTAATTTCGATTCACCTCCGTCTTGGGTAATCTCATAGTAACCACCTTGATCATCAACCTTGATCTCAGACTGTAAGAAAGAATAGACAAGAAAGGAAGGATAGATTTCTTAGTAATGGGTTTGAATTGTCTAGATTGTGTAGAACGATGATCATCAAAGTTGATTCTTTTATTTATTTGTAAATGTAAAATCAGAAAGGGAAACGTACTTGGTGGCCAGGGTCGGCAGTCTTTTGGATCTCAACAGGCTTGATGCAGGCCTGAGAAGGGGCAATGTAATCGTTTAGGTCTGTTAGAACAAGTGCTGAAGAGAATGCCATTAAAGAGTTGGGAGTGTTGAGTTTGGTTAAAAGAAGAAGAAGAAAAATAGAGGTGTTTAATTATAAATATAAAAAATTATAATTAAAAAAAAAAAAAAAAAGATTGGTTTAGACTGTCTATATTTCTGCTTTTAATTTTAATTTTTATTTTTATTTTATTTTATTTTATTTTATTATCAGTATAGACTATAGACTATAGACTATAGACTATGTATTCAATATCATCAATTGTATGTATAAATCTTTGAATGGATAATGCTGGGTACAATAAATACAAATTCTCGGTCTACCAATCGGAGATGGCCGATCTTTTTGACAGCAAAGATTGATAAAAAAAAAATAGACACAAAAACAGGTTTAAGATCAATCTCTTATATAAATTTTTGTTTCCTTTTGGGATATTTATTAAGCTGCTTATGTCTTGGTTTATTTGACAATACTAAATGACTTTATAAATGTAATATTGTTTACTGGTGTGTTTGTATTAGTTTATTATTCTTTGGGTTTGGAACAAAGTATTTAGAATGGATTTGCACAATAAATCAAGGGAAATTTAAAGGTCATTGAAGCATAAAGAAGAAGAAGAGAAAGAAATAGACAGGTAGGACAGTCTGTGCATCAGAAATGTATTTTATTTTATTTTATATATAAAAAAAAAGAAATATTAGTGAGTTGCATGCGCCAACACATGCTTTGATCCGGTTTCTGAAATAGAATTAATAAGAATTCGACAAAAAAGATCGCCTGTTTGTTTCCTTTTTGTTATGTATTGGTTTATATAATTAGAATATATACATTTTGTTGGCAGCTTGGGAAAAATAAAATACTAAAAATATATTTTTGGTAATCAAAATATATGTAATGAAAATTAGATATTCAATATTGAATATTGAATATTCAGTAGTCAATATTCAGTAGTCAATATTCAATATTCAATATTCAATATTCAATATTAGATTACAAAATAGCTAAAGAGTTTAATAAGAATGTGTGTTCAAGTAGTCATTTATTTTACTTTATATAATTTTACTTTCTTTCCTTCTTTCTTTCTTTCTTTCTTTCCTTCTTTCTTTGCTTTCTCCTTCTTTCTATTCAACACACACACACGTAGTATATATACATCTTTACTACCATGAAACCAAGTATAATTGGTGTTGACTATCTGGCATACGAGTGGCAGCCAAGTGAATTGATTGCCTGTCACCGAGAGATGCGCCACAAAATGACTGAACTCTCGGCCAAAATTCGATGTCCTAACGATAAACGAACTTGCAAAATGCTCGACTCAGACTATGCACGTCTAACACGGTGTCAGAATGCGGTCTGGCGTCAAATGGCCAATAGATGTACAGACGTCCTAGGTAGCAAAAATCCTCTACTTGATCCAGCAACTCTTTTGTGGTAAGATTATAATTGGCACAATGCTCTCTATTATTATACTAACCTTGACTACTACTACTACTACTACTACTACTACTACTACTACTACTACTATTATTATTATTATCATTATCTTTACTTTTTTTTTAAAAAAAAAAAAGGGACAAGGAAGCTGATTGTAATTGTAAGTTAAAATAAAAAAAAATTATATAGAAAAAAAAATGGTACGACCTTTTTGTATTATTTGTATTGTTTTACCCCATATACTTTTTACTTAATATATATATATATATCTATATATATTTAGGGTTGTATGGACCACTGTACAACAACAAGATCACTGTGTTTCGTAGTAGACCAACCAATGGTCTCAAGTCTGCCCTGAAAACACCACGCACATCATCGAAACCATTCTTCAAATTCACCAACAATTACAACTACAATTACAATAATAATTCTAAAATCAACTTGAGCAACAGTAGCAGCACCAGCACCAGCAGCAGCACCAGCAGCAGTAGCAGTAGCAGTAGCAGTAGCAACAGTAGTAGCAACAGGAGTATCAAAAGTACTGTTAGTGTTAAAAGTAGCCAAGGCCTTCATGTGCGGTCCCCTAACGAGGTCCGGTTTGATCCAGAGATCCGTCGGATACTCTATCAATCTGATCTTCCTCCAACCCATGACTCTCTATTGACGGAAAAGATAAGAGTCAAGACGCTTGATGATTACTGTGCTGAAATGGATGCCAATACCCAGTTTGACGATGATTGTGATGGTGGTATTGACACGGATGATTTGGTATACGAGTGCACCCTCTGGGTCCGCCAAAAGATCCTCTCGCTACATTTCTTGGCTTCTCACAGGTCTCGGATCGATTCCGTCCCATGCGCTCGTCCACGTGATCTGGTCGTACTTATCATCCGTATTCTGCAATCGATGGTTGCTGCGACTACAATGTGGATGGTCTATCAGAGTCTATTGCCTGTCCGATGGCTAATTCGACCTGCCAAAAAGAGCCCAGCCTCTAAGATGAATAACAAGTCCATCCAATAGGATCCAAGAACCTTCTCTATCATTTCTTTAAGAAATTGTACACAGAACACAGAACACAGACACAGACAGACAGACATCAATAGGAGAAGATTATAACCTTTCTTTTTTCTACAAAAGCAAATCCATTATTATAATATGATATATACATATTCATTTAGTCATTTAACCATTCATTCATTCATTCATTCAATCAATCATTCATTTATTCATTCATTCATTCATTCATTGACACTTCAGCATAATTCATAATACATTCCAAAACAAGTAAATAGGAGATTACAAATCTATAATAAATACAAATATAAAATATATATATATATATGTGTGTGTGTGTGTGTGTGTGAGTATAAGAGGGAGAGGGAGGGTGATAATGTAGTACTAGGAAAGGACCGGAAGACCAGCCGTATTGCCAATATTTATTATTAATTATTATTAATAAGTATTGATAATATTAATAGATTTTTTATATAAAAAAATATATATGTAAATGTGAATGCAAATGTATGTAAAATGTAAAATGTAAAATGTATGTAATGTGTATTTCAAACAAGAATAAGAAAACCACATCTTTCTTTTCTTTTTTAAATATATATATATATATATATATACTGCTTTAAAATATTTCTTGGCGGTAGTCCTGATGGTTTATATGACGCTTACGGTGTATAAAGTCCATCAAAAATAAACAGAGCCCTCTGACGATCTCAAACATCAGTAGACCAACCAGGACCCAAAAGATAAACCAGCCAACCAGATCACCGTGCACAATAAGCCTCTCGGGGTGACAAAAGGTGCCATGGAAGCTGTACATTCCCTTGTAGTCCGTATAGAACATGCTAAAGTATCCACCCAGCGCAGTCAGAGGCAGCAGTCGGTTGTAAGATCTTGGCTGGCTGTCAGAGTAGCTCCTCTGGCGGGTTCCGGCCGGGTCGAGCAGAAACGAAGTATGTCTGTTTCGAATCTCCTGCATGATGGACTGGCGGTCCATTTTGGTTACATTGACTGTCAGCCACACGTTGGCCCCAACTGAAGGGTGGTGGACATCAGTGCCGGTCATCTGGACCAGATTGTGGGTCTGGGTGACCTGCAAAGTAGGGTAATCAAGAACGTCCTGGTGAACGATTTCAAAGCCATCGACTCCCCAGGAAATAAGATCATTGACCGAAGGATGGTTTGGTAACCGAGCGTCTTGATAATAATCCTCTAGAACAAAACGGTGATTTAGCTTTATTGCTTAAATATCGTCTGTGCTTTGGTGTTTTACCAGTTGTGTTGCTCCATGGAATATGGTTTACAATCACCAGTCCTCCCAATGAGTGTACTTGGTCAATCACTTGCCTAAGCTCTTCATCGGTGGGAACTGGAGGTCCTTCAGGAATGGTCTGATTGATATCTATAAAATTCATGTGTATCCGACAACACCTTTCGATATATATATATAAGTAATAATATTATTAACCCTGTTTGTTTGTTTGTACGTTTGATTGTCTTATTGTTTTAGATAAAGATTAGGCTGTAAAATCAAATTGTTGGTGTTGTTATTGGGCTATTTGATCGGCCCATTATTATCAATAGTACTTTAAACAAACTCTATTTGTAAATAATAATGATGATACTTTGGTACTAAGATTCATAGCAACAAAAACAATAAAGTGAAATTTGAACATACGAGTATTCCATGGCCGGAATAACCACAATTGTTTCATTGTACTCGGCCAATGCCAGCTTTTCAGCCGCCAGTCCACCCTCGACTGTATTATGATCACTGAGCCAAGTAAATTTTATTCAATTTGTATTGTATTGTATTGTTTCAATATTTTTAGGTTCTTGATAATCTTTTTCTTTCTTTATTTCAAAATAAATACATTTTTATACACCATTATAATGTAATACATAAGAAAAAAAAAGACATTTACCTGACAATTACTGCATTATATCCATTAGCTTAAAAATAATCAAAAATTAGACATCTCTTTAACTTGTATATAAAGTTAAATTGCTAGTTTGCGTATTGTACCAATATGCCAGTCAAGAAGTTGTCGAATGTTCATTTTGCCATCACTATAAGTCGAGTGTGAATGGCCATCGAGAAGAACATTGTATTCGAATGACTGGTTGAATGGCAAAAGATAACTCTTGGGATCAACTTTCCAATCGAATGCCAGGTTGGAAAAGGTTTCTGATGCAGGTAGGCCTTCGGTATACATTAGACCCAAGCCGATTCCAATCAGTACACCTAACACGACCACCATTGTGGCTACACGGATAGCCAGTCCTTTAAGGTATTGTATCAATTTGGCATGTCGATGATAGAATGCATTCCTCTGTTGTGATCCTGTCGGTGGTGGTTGGTGAATTAAACTTGTGGATGTCGAAGGAGTGTCTTTGAAGACAGTCGGAATGGATTTTGTACTCATTCTGCAATATTCAAACGAGAACAAAAAAGAAAGAAAGAAAAGAAGAAAAGAATACGTTGGGCTTTGGCAAAGTAGGGCCAAGCAATACAAGACACACACACACAGGCAAATAAGAGAACATGTTCAGCCTTATCGGAGTGATTTTTTTTTATTTATTTAATAATAAAGAAACAATAGAATTTACTATTCTGTTTGTGTTTCTTTGTGTGTTCTTGGCATCGTTATTATAAAGAGGTTCTGTGTAATACAAGACATGTATATTTGAATGCAGTGCTTGTTGTAGTTACTACCAATGTTACTTCTTTTTCTTTTTCTTTTCTCTCTAGTGTCCTTTCAGATTGACTTGTTTCAATATCAAGATTAGGATTTCAAAAGCACCAAGAATTGGAATCGGATTTCTTTCATTATTGAATCTAGACAATAGATGGAGACTACTATGAGTTGACCAACATAGCAACAAGGAGAATTTTTATTCACATTAGTAGTAGTAATGCTGATAATGAATTATAGTTTTTGTGACTGTGTCTATGCCTGTGTCTGTGTCTGTGGATAATATAATTAGATATAAAAGAGAGGGAGAATAATAAGAAAGGATTGTACTTTTATTTTATTAGACCTTTAGAAATCGATCAATCAAATTCGTATCTTTATAGGAGATTTTGTACTTCTATTTTAGGAAATCTAATCCCCTTCCTCCCTCTGTCTGTGTGCATTCTTTCTATTGCTCTTTTGGCGCGTTGAGTCATTATGTATATTACTATTATTTGATACCCAAATTATTATTTTTCCACCACGTCCCTTCCCCGCTATTTCCCTACCTTTACCCTTCCCATACACTTTAAATTTATTTTTTAGACTTGTCCATTAATTGTAATTACAATGTATTTTGTATTGTATTTCCAGCCACAAATAACATAAAATGCACCAATTCATATATATTTATATATATATATATATTCTTTTAACCAATAGAATTAAAAGTAAAATTAAAATTAAAATTTCTAAAGTCTAAAATAAAATAAAATAAAAGAAAAATTCTATCAATCTATGTGTACATTCAATTCTTCTCTATGTATGATTTTGATTCCATTTGACTAATGAGCTTTTATTGAACTGAGCATGCATTGTTTAAAAAGATATATATTTTATTTATTCAACTCTCATCATTACACATTGATTTGATTGGACAGGATTAATCTAGATCTCCGAATTTTTTTTAATCTTTTGTTTTTTTGTGTTAAATAAATTAATGCACCAATATTTTTATTTTTTTATATAATAATTATTTAATTCAATTTTTTTTTTAATCCCCCCCCCCCCTTTTTGTTGTTGTTGTTGTTGAATATCACAAAACCAAAAATAAAATAAAGATAAAATGTCATTCCTGACCACCTCTGCTGTCCGTACTTTTGCTGCCTGTAGCCATGTGGCCCGCCCCATGTCTGCCAAGGCCATGTCTACCCGAGTCCAGGTAGCCAACCCTGTTGTTGACTTGGATGGTGATGAAATGACTCGTATTATCTGGCAAGACATCAAGGAAAAGTTGATCCATCCTTACGTCAAGTTGGATATCAAGTACTACGATCTTGGTGTCGAGCACCGCGACTTGGTAAGAAATCAAAAAAAACGATGTTAAGATTATGGTGATGTTGGCCCAAGAACTGGTTAATGAACATATTTTGGATATCTAGACTAATGATCAGGTTACTATTGATGCTGCTGAAGCCATCAAGAAGTACAATGTTGGTATCAAGTGTGCCACCATTACTCCTGATGAAGCTCGCGTCAAGGGTAAGAAGGAATACATCACATCTGAGCTTTGGTTATTAATGGTGAAAAAATAGAATTTGGATTGAAGAAGATGTGGAAGTCTCCCAATGGTACAATCCGTAACATTCTCAACGGTACTGTTTTCCGTGAGCCCATTATCATGAACAATGTGCCTCGTATTGTTCCCGGATGGACTGAGCCTATTGTCATTGGCCGTCATGCATTTGGAGACCAGGTAAGAATAAGAGACGTGTATGTATGTATGCTAACGTTCATATATATATTCTTTTTCTTGTTTATATTATAGTACCGTTCTACCGATTTCTACACCGACAAGCCTGGAAAGTTTGAAATGTCATTCACTCCAGAAGACGGTTCTGAAGCTCGCAAGTGGACCGTGTACGACTTCCCCAAGAACGGCGGTGTGGGCATGGCCATGTACAACACCGAAGACTCGATCCGTGGATTTGCACACTCTTGTTTCCAGATGGCTCTGACCAAGCAGATGCCTCTTTACTTGAGCACCAAGAACACGATTCTGAAGGTGTACGATGGCCGTTTCAAGGACATCTTTGAGGAAATCTATGAGGCCTCGTACCGCTCCGAGTTCGAGAAGTCCAAGCTGTGGTATGAGCACCGTTTGATTGACGACATGGTTGCCCAGGCACTCAAGTCCAAGGGTGGATTTGTGTGGGCATGCAAGAACTACGATGGTGATGTGCAGTCCGACATTCTTGCCCAGGGTTACGGCTCGCTTGGCTTGATGACCTCGGTGCTCTATACCCCTGACGGCAAGACCATGGAGGCCGAGGCTGCACATGGAACAGTCACTCGCCATTACCGCGAGTTCCAGAAGGGCAACCCTACCTCGACCAACCCCATTGCGTCCATCTTTGCCTGGACCCGTGGATTGGCCCACCGCGCCAAGCTGGACGTCAACCCCGAATTGACCAAGTTTACCCAGGAACTTGAGCGGGCCTGCATTGACACAGTTGAGAAGCACAGTGTGATGACAAAGGATCTTGCCTTGGCAATCCACGGCAAAGAGTAAGTATCTATTGTTTATATATACACACACACATATATATATATATATATTTAGAACGTCTTGAAATAATAATAACAAACTGATGTATTTGTAGCTTGCGTCCTCAGCACTATGTTACCACAGCCGAGTTCATGGAGAACGTCAAGGCCAACCTGGACAACCCTAGAAGCTAAACAATCAAATAATAATTTAATATTATATATATATTCTTTTTCTATCACTACTTTTCTAACTAGCTAACTAGCCAGCTAGCTATTGGTATCATTGTTTTCAACCCCCCCCCCCCCCCCCCCCCCCTCCTCCTCCTCTTCCTCATTTATCTTTTTTTTTTTAAAAAAAAAATCGTTTATCTGTGACAAGTAAAATACACAATGATTTGAACCAAAAAGATTTATATATGATATTTATTAGTGCGTGTGAATAATTTCTCTTTTTTGCTGTATAATATGTTGACATACAGATTATGCTATTATATTGGACTATGAAAACTAAGTTTAGTGAGGCTTTAATACCTAAATTATATTTATATATATAAATAAATAAACGCCTCCAAAAATTATTGTTCGTCTTATTATAGAATTATTATTACTTAAGAGTTGAACTCACCAAACAATAAATAAGAAATGTACATGGATTAAAAGCCACAAAGGCTGAATTCCGCCTCCTAATCTGTCTTGTATAAATGTTTCTAAGGATAGCTGAAAAGAGAATAATATATATAAATAAATAGTAATATTATTTATTTGGAGGCAGTAATGAGAATAAGTATAAAAGAGATCAAAAATAAGAAGATAATTACATAGTTACAATGAACTCATTTTATATATATATTCAATTACTTGCTTAATTAGTTAATTAATAAATAAATTATTTACTTAAATAAAATATGTATTTATTTATATATTTTATAAAGTGTTTAATTATTGTGCATTTAAATGTACATTTTGTAAAGAATTGCTATAGCTATATAGCTATTATTTAAGGTAAGTAAAATAAAATATTTTTTTTATATGTACAAAAGTAATAATTATAATAATTATAATGAAAAATGAAAAGAATGTTTTGTCTAGTCCAAATACAAAAAATCATTTTTTTTTAAAGGCTGAATTTCTTCAAGAGGCGAGTGAGCCGGCTATTCGGTTTCTTTGTCGGCTGGGTTGTACTAGATGCGGTTACGGTTGTATTCGCGGTTGTATTCGCGGTTGCATTTACGGTCGTGTTTGTGCTTGTGTTTGTGTTTGTGCTTGTGCTTGTGCTTGTACTAGGGCTAGCACATGCTGAGGTAAAAGTCGAAGTCGAGGCAGAAATAGAAGTAGAAGTAGAAATGGAAATGGAAATGGAAGCGGAAGCGGAAGTAATAGTAGAAGTAGCAGCAGAGGTCGAAATCTTATTTTTTGTGCCCTTTGTTTTTCTTGTCGTGGTCTTTGTAGTCTTTTGCTTTATATCCAAATCATCAGAGCCAAACAAACCATTGGCAGAATTAGAAGTTGAGGGTTTTCGAGACTGAGGCATGACAGTCATGGGAGATTCAAGTGACTGACTATTGTTATTTCCATTCGCATTCCCACTCGAACCTGAACCAGGAGTGGTAGAATTTGAAGAATAATGGGACCAGAGCCGTGTGATGGGGTCAAATAGACGTTGATAGGCTGCTGCTGTCTGTCCAGCACGTTTACGAGCAGCAGCAATGGAATCCATCAGGTCGTCGTCTGCTAATTCCACGGCAAGCTGAGATTCATCCCAAAATAGTTGACTTGTGGCCCTTGCCTTGACTTGCCGTGGATGGACGGCATTCAAAGAAACCTCGTTACTGTTTGTACGCAGCTTGTGTCTTTTGGGCTGAGTAATCTTCCTGGTTACTGTTTCTGTCATTTCGGAAGGCATTAAGCTTATTGACGTATGTGGTGTATTGATATTAATATTATTTAATGTCCTTGTTGGCGTCGAGGTCGATATTAACCGATTATAATGTCTTGAATGATCTAGATTTAAATGACTATTGTGCTTTTCATTCTTTATTTTTTTGTTCCCTGATGGCGTGGTTTCCGAGTCAAGGGGACACAAGGGAGTAGGAGGAATGGCTCGTGTAAATGGCTGTGGGTAACAGGAGGAGGAGGAGGTTAATAATAATGCTGATGATGCTGATACTGATACTGATGCTGATGCTGATGCTGATGTTGATGATAATGATAATGATGTCGCTGCTGCTGAGGAGTGCTGGGGAATAAAAAAAACCTTTTCATTAAACGACACCCGCCGTGATCCTGGATGATTGCTATTATTATTTGTGTTTGTGTTTGTGTTTGTAGTGGGGTGACTGCTGTACTTGGCGTGGTCTGTGTGTGATGTGGTTGAATAGAGTGATGTTTGGGCAGTTGAGGCAGTTGATGTTGTAGAGGCAGTGGTGGTAGAAGATGGTGATTTTGCATGCTGCTGGAGCTGGTTCTGATTCTGGCGAGATTGGGGCATAAAGACCAAAGTCGTCGGTGTTCTTTCTGATGATGGCAGCAAGGTTGGCGGAGGACAGGAGGCGATAATTGCGGTTGCGGTTGTGGTCGGAGTGGCTTTTTGTGGTTCGCTGTTTGGATAGGTCGGAATGTCTTTGAGCTTGTGCGAGTGTGGAGCGTGCTTTGTGGTCGTTGGCGTGGTTGAGTAGTAAAGATAAGGCGAGGGTGTTGAGGATTGGTATTTGGGGTTACTGACAGCCACACCAAGCGATTGTGGAATTGACTTTGTCGATGATGCACAGCTCGAACAGGACGACGAAGACAGCGAAGGTAAGTGCCGGCTATGTTTAGTTACTGGCATTGACATCGAAGAAGTTGATGTTGAGGACGTAGAAGAAGTGCTGCTGTTCGCTTGGTGGCTAGTTGGATTTCTAGCCAACGGACAATTGCTGTTGCTAGTTTGTAACATTCAATAGAATATGATATGATATAAAGAGGTATCTATGTAGGTAAGGTTATCGGTAACAGTGATAGTTACAAGAATAGAGTAATTTTTAGATGGGTTTGATTGGTTGAATGATTAAACAATTGTTGTTATCAATTGTTGATAGTAATAATTTTGAAGCAAAAAAAAAAAAGGCAAAAAGTGAAAAAAAAAAATTAATAGAAAGAAAGGAAAAAGAATCATATTTATATTCAACCAAAAAAAAAAAACATATTTTTTTTCTTTTCTTTTCTATTTTTTGACATTCACTTTTTCTCTCTGTCTCTTAATTTGTTCAAAATTATTGAAACACAGTATATAACAAAAAATAAATAAATTAATATAAAACAGTCCAAGCCCAAAGGACAAAAATCTCTGTATTTTATTTTGTGAAAATGAATATGAAAATTATTTACTTGCTTACTTGATTGCTTTTTTTTAAATATAATGAACGCATGTTGTTTTCCACAATTGTCCCTCAAAACTCATGCGATTTTTTATATTGTCATTATAATATAATAAATTATAATGATAATGATAATGCTAATGATAAAATAGAAAATCAAAATCAAAATTAAAAGAAAAGAAAATGATGTATTGGTTGCCATGGAAATAAATCATTACTTCTTTTATTTATTTAATCAATACTCCTCTTCTGTTTCTTTGATTTTTACTATTTTATTTTTTGCTGCTGTTGCTGCTGTTGTGACTTTGTTGCAGTTGAGATGAGGGTGGATATAATCTATCCAATAAAATCAAGTCCAGAAATACACATTCAAATCTAGAGTATTAGTGCAGCAGACAAATAAAGAACAAATATCAATATCAATAATAATAACAAGTGAATTGTATACATCATATTTTCTTTTTAATAAAAATATATATAAATAAATAAAAGAAATACAGAAAAATAGCGGGAATTGGAAATGTTATTATTCCGTTCTCCAAATTAGGTGATTATTTCTCTTATACATCTATAAAATAAAATAAAATAGAATAGATAGATAGATTTTGTTAATTGTTTCAATAAATCTGATGTTTTTTTCATTCTTTCTTTTATATAACAAAATATTCAATGCTTCTTCTTTATAAAGCAAAATTATTATCGTCATGTACAACAAACTTGTCCTCACCAGATTGGAAATGAATGAGATCATTTCTATTCACAAAAGAATAAAGTCATTACCCTAAGAATACAAACAAAAGTACAAAGAATCATCTTATAGAGAAGAGGTGTCTTTATTGCAAAATGTGAATAAGAAACGTGTTACATATATTCTGTAGTAATTTATACATAATACATAATACAATATTTTATAAAAGAATCTTTTGTTTTTCTTTTTCTTACTTTAAGATGTGCATCTTTGTTATCACTCTTTGTTTTCTTTTTGTTTGCATTCAAAGATCAAAATTCCAATTAGACTGGACTACTAGACATGACTCTATTGAGCTGTTCTGCACTGTACTGTACTAGACTGGCTAGTAATCTAAATAAATAAATAAATAAATATACAGAAATCACAAGTGGGGTTAACAGAATCAAATCCAAATTGGTAAATGTTCTTTCTTTCTTGCTGGACAGTGGCGTTGTTTCTTTATCTTATTCTTTTGGCTCTTGTTTTTGAATAGAGATAGTCTTGCTATACTATGACATGTTAAACGGTCTATTTATCAAGCGTAAAGGACTAAAAATAAAATAAAGAAAAGATAACCATACATCATAAATAAATCATAATCCCTTCAACGTCTACCTCCACTTTCACTCCTTCTAACTCCTTCTAACTCCTCTTTTTCCTTTTCTTACTTTCTTCTTTCTTTCTTTATTGTGTAATATTATATATACTGTGTGTGTGTGTGAATATATTTCCTGCCTATTTCAAGTATTATTATAATATTACAGCCATAACTATAACTATAACTATAACTATAACTATAACTGTAATTATTATAATTGTAGTTTGGTAGTCATAGTTATAAATGTGGGTGTGGGTGTAGTTCTAATGGGTCAATAGAAACCAACTCGGAGGTGTCCGAACCTGCCGAACTCTTCCGGAACAAGATGCTGCCGTTGGTACCAATCATGAGTTTTATTTTATTTTATTTTTGGGGGGAACGATAGGTACTTCACAACCCTTTCTTCTTCTTCTTCTTTTTCCCTGTTTTTACCCGACATCCTTTTAATTCCCCTTTATCTATATATCTATTTTATTACATTCATACAAATCAACCACTGTAATTAAGACAATATTATGAGCCATATATTTACTTGCATATTCATAGACATAAGATATGATTGTTTAAAAGCCCTGACTTGAAATTACAAAGCACCAAAATATATATATCTTAACATAATTGCCGATTTTTTTTTTGTATTTGATATACAGTGAGTGGTCTGTAAACCTGCGGTTGATTTTTTATATGCAAGATCACCATATATAGCATACGGTATTTCGTCACCTTTTTCCGAGTTTATTGAACTCAGGTGAAATAAGATATGAGAACAATTCAATGTCTTGGAATCGCTAAAACCCCTTTACATTATCTCAAAGGTCCAAGAAAAAAAAAGCGACTAAAAAGACTGTTGGTTATGCCATTAACTATATATATATACATTTATCCAAGAGCCATTGTTGAAGGATTTGGTGTTTATATAAAAGCACTTTCTTTACATTTAGCATCAGAATATGTTTCAATATCAAGACATTTGTAAATGGTTCTCTTTTTGTGACAAAACGAAGAAAGGTAGTAGGTGTAGGGCTGTTAATAAATAATCTTTCTATATTCTTTAAGCAAGAGATGATGCGAATATATGACTGGCCTTACTTTTGACTAAAGAAATTAAAAAGAAAGAAAGATCAATGTATTCCAATATTTCCATTCACTAAATTATAAAAATATTGTTTCACATGTCTTAATTCCAAGGTGTTTTCAACAGTCCCGCGACTATGACTTGTATTGAATACAGCATAGCTACCTGTATGTTTCTTTTCTTTCTCTCTCTTTATTATTTGTTGATAAACACATTGGACATACTATTCAAGTAGGCAGAATTAGAAAAAGGAAGCTCACAGTATCAGAAAAGCATCACTGATTGACCCCCAGCCCAAGTCAATAACGAGACAAAAAGGTAGGTAGGGTGTAACTATATCATAAGCCTTCTCCTTGTCAAACAGACAGGACAACCAATATCCGAATGTTTGGTAATCCACACCTATTGAATGTCCAGTCGCGTTAGTAAACCATTATAGCCAATGGAAAATATGAAAAATATAATATAATACGCCACATCTTTAAAGGTTTTCAGATAACTGTTTACACTGTAATTCACATAAATATTGTACAGAAAGCCCTCTAGTGAATTCTGCTTTAAGCAAATATTTATTTCTCCCGTAGGAACATCATATTATATTTTATTATTCAAATCGAATGCACACACACATACGAATACAGAGGAGAGATAAAGAGAAAGAGAGATATGCATATATATATATATATATATATATATGTGTGTGTGTGTGTGTATGTATGTGTGTACTAATGTGCGTACAAGTATTAGATATATTTTATTTGGGTGGTAAATCAATCAATCAATCAAAGTTACGCTTGGCGCTGCAGGGAGTCCTTTAGGATCCATGCATTTTGATGAGTGCTTTTGTACCCAGGAGGCCGCTGTGGAATTACCCCCGTCGACGGCATTCCAATAGTCAGATTCGACAGTTGCTCAAAGTAATTGGTTCTATTTGTCAAATAATCCTTGTTTTTTTCTCCTCCTTCTCCTTCTCCTTCTCCTTCTCTTGGCCCTAGTTTTTGCCTTTGATCCTGACCCCGAGACTGAGTATGAGGCTGAGTATGAGGCTGAGTATGAGGCTGAGCGGGGGACTGGCCCGAATAATCCGGTAATCTGGTCAGTGGTGTTTGGGATGTGTCAAATCCATGTCTGCCAGGTATATTTGATTCGATGTCTGCACTTGTATTGTTGCTGTATTGCCGTTGGTGGCCATGGTGCTCGGATCGCTTGTGCTTATGTTTTTGCTGGTGGGTGGGACTAGGTGCTGATATGGACACATTATTATTACTAAGTGGGATAGACTCTTGTTTGCTGGACGCAAAAGAGATCAACAGCTGTTCAAAACTGGCAATGTCCGGTCTCTCAAGTTGGTTGAAAGTAGGTGAGAGTGCAGCAACAGGTGCAGCTACTGCAGCTACTGGTATTGATACAGAAACAGTCCTCGGAACAGTCACAGTCTCAGGCACAGATCTGCCTTCAGGCACAGGCAGAGATCCGTATTCAGGTACACATGCAGCTACATCAACAGACATGGATGGGCGAGAAATCTACACCACATATACATGCACAGATATACACAAGCACATAAACAAACACAAACAAACACATAAATACAATAATCATAATAGCCAGATAATTATACAATACATATATACATTTTTATTTCAACAGCTCTATTTTCCATTCGTTAATTCGTTTATATATTTTATTCTCTATTTCTTCCTCTATATTTAAGTGTATTTTTTTTTAAATTGATATTTACTATTGGTTCATATTCACCCAGAGTTTGCGGATCAGGTAGGTCAGGCTGGCTTACCCATCGTTTGTGTTCGTATTTAGCTCTGATTTTCTCTTCTACATTATATCTTGATCCATCTTGTATACAATTGGCTTCCCAGTACCTGTGGTCATATTCATTAAATGTTGTACATTCTGATATATTTATTTATTGATTAAAAGTAAACATACATACATACATACATACATACATGCGTATATGAACGCATATACATATGTATATGTATATGTATATAGCATGTAAGTAGATACATTATAATACCATCATTATAAGAAGAAGAAGAAAAATAAGATAATAAAAATGAGTAGATTTACTTGTTTGCTCGGCCATTTCCCCACTGAACCATACTATCTATCTGTTCAGGTACCCAAGTATCCAGATCAACAGATTTAACTATCCATACAAATGCCAATTAGTCAATTAGTTGGTCCGTCAGTCAGTCCATAATTCATTCATTCATTCAATTAATCAATTAATTGGTCACTCAATCAATATTTCCCTCGGTTTTTGTCCTTTATTTTTATAGCTGTTCCAATAGATTTCTTTTTTTTTTATTTCTTTTTTTTACCTTTACTAATGTGTGTACCCAATGACCGATGAATACCTGAACACTGGATACACACAAATATTCCTAGATTCCAGGAAGCCCATCGTGGATCTAAAGTAATCATATTCAGCAAATGATTACATTAACAGAATTAACAAATATTTAGAAATAATGATTAGAAAGTTCAATCAATCACAAATCTTAATCTTCATCTTACCCTTTTTCCCACAATCAGCACAGGTCATGTTTGCTGATTGACTCAACAAGTCCTTGAGAATGATGGTATGCTTCTCATTTAACAAGGTATTTGCCACTCTTGCATGTCGAGTTGACATTTGTGAATTACAATTAAAAAAGATATATATATATATATGTAAAAGACGAAACAAAGAATAAGGAGATATTTTAGACTCCCGGTTATTCCATTATTTCCATTACAAGTAACATTGGCACAAGCGTGTGTGCGTTATTTCTTTTTCTTTTCTAATTTTAAAGAATATCAAAAAATTGAAACATTGAAACAATATAATAAATGAAAGAATGAAAGAAAAGATATATATATATATTGACCCATTGTTGGTTATGTTTGTGCATTTATGGATTTGTGCATTTCTGTTTCCTGATTATATATATATACATATATGCATACATACATATATACATACATATATATTTGTCATTGTTTCCTTGTTTCGTATTCTTATTCTTCATCTTCTGCTTTTTTCTTTTATTTATATTTTTATACAGAAATGTCCATCAAATCACCTTCGGACACTTCAACAAAATTCTTGATAGACTGCTTCAAGATAGCAGTGGTACCTCTGTTGTATCTGTAGCTGTGCTCCTTTACTGCACGCTCATTGGGACGACCATAGTTACGGAGGTAATCAGTCTTGTCTTTTTCAATCACGCACACATCCACATTTGATCCAGAGCCCAAGTCGTTGAAAATACCAGCCTCAATGGCATCATTTACCAATCCAATAGCCTCCTCACGCTGAAATAATAATAATAATAATAATAGTATATAAATATATCGTGTATTACATTAATACACACACAATTCTTTACTGGAGTTTCTTTTTTTCCCACTGATCTATGTACGTATCCTCTCATTACATCTCCAATAAACCTTTTCCAACAATAACAACAAAAAATAAACTTACAGTCATATTAGGTCTCCATCTGCTCTCAAATACACTCATAGCTGCCAATGAACCAGAACCCATGGTAACATAGGGAAGCTTGTCGGTACTTCCGTGAGGGTAGACAGTGTACAAGTGTGAGCCAGTAGCATCGAATCCACCCAAAACAAGAGCAGCACCAATGTGTCCCTGATGCCTATTTATTTATTTTTATTATTAAAGGAAAGAAGAAATACGAGAGTATTCAGATTGTCAATACCATTTCATTTCATTTAACTTAATTTTCATTCTTTACTATAGATAGCTACCTCTAATATTATATTATAATATAGAAGAAAAGGGAGAGAAAAAATCTTAATCACACATACTTGAACAACATCTGTTTCAACATAGTCATGACAGTGACGGTTCTGGGCTTTCTTCCGGTTGACAGGCTGTGCAATTCGATTTGAGAGCTGATCAAGTTAGTTGTGAATTCGGTATCAGCGGCAGTACCTGCACCGCAGCAATAGCTACAATTCAAAAAAAAAAGTATTAAGCATGTTTGTTCTTTTTTTTCTTTCTTTTTATTTGGTTAACAAAAACTTGCAAATACACACAAAAGGTCACAATGATACTTTTCGTAATTAAAAGAAGTTATAAACGTACATGTTGGGTGCAATGTAATGGATCTTTTCACAGTTCTTGTCAGCTACAATAGGACCTTCAGTTGCTCTTGTATCGGCACCCAAGCACACACCACCCTAAGTAATAGACATCAAAGAAAGAATATTAATCAATAAATCGATTATTTTAATTATCACAATAAGGGCAACACTAAATCTAAGATAACAAAAAAAAACAAACACCAACAACAAAGTTTGCTCATCTTCTTCTTACATTGAAAACAACGCCTACAATGGTGGTACCAGTGCTGGTGGCCTTTGGTGGTTTGGCACCTTTGGCCTCGAGAGCATGGTTTCTATGCAAGTTTTTAACAATTAGAAAATGTTGATGTATTTAGGTTTGAGTGGGTGTTTATATGCATGCGAGTATGAGTGTGTGTATTGATGTATATGTGTATACATGTATAATAATCGTATTTTATGCATTAGCTTTTTTTTTGGCCTTTTATAAACTATTTATTGAGATTTCATAAATTGTCATCCGATTCAAAGATGCATTGCTTGAATAATCGCCTGTTGCTTTCGCATATATATATATACATGTGTGTTTATGTTTTTTTTCTGTCTTTTTGTTACTCTGTAACTTTGTATGTCTGTTTGTCTGTGTGTAAGTGTGTATTTATGTACCTAGCAAAGTTTTCGAAGCTAAAGCCTCCCTTGGCAAGGTTTGATTTAGTAGCCATTGTGTCTTGGTTTGTTTATTGGTTTAAATGTATGTGTGTAGATACAAAGCACAAAAACAATGTAGTGGATAAAATAAAATAAGAAAGGGAGAAAAGAGAGTGAACAAAAAAAATAGGTGAGAGTCGGAGGGAGGAAAAGTGCGTTACGCGTCTTGGACGGGGAAGGGAAAGAAGAAGCGGTGTTGCAATAATAATAATAGGGATCTCTGTAAAAAAAAAACTACACTCAAAGTGGGAACTTTTTCTTTCAGGTCCAAAAAAAAAAAAAAGGCAACGCGTAATCAGTGACGTGGAGGTTTGGATTCATCGCTCTGGCTTTGACTCTGACTCTGACTCTTCGTTGTCTTTTTATGGGTGTGCATACATAGCTCTAACTTTCACTCGAATACGTCACTTAGTCACCTTTTTCTTCATTATTTCTGCTGGAAACATTAGGGACAATCTTGAAAAGTAGGTTGACGTCATATTACTCACTCAATCTGTCCTAAGGGCTTCTCTATTTTACAAGCAATATAGCTTACACTACGAAAAGAAAAGGTGTGATTCAGAGGGTGGTTTTGGAAAAGATCATAAGCATTTTTAAAAATCGCCCTCTTAATCGCCCCCACTTTTTTTTTGTCATAGTGTTATGGGATATTTTCAGCATTTTGAGCCTCATTATTTTTTAATTCCTGATTATTATATACACAAGGTTAAAGGAGTTGATTTATAGATTTATAGAATTGTATATTGACAGATTGACAAATATACAAACAAACAGATAAGAAAATAATTTGGTGTCGACAGACTAAAAAGTTCAAATGGTTATTAGACAAAATTAAGTGTCCATAGTATTATCTGTTCCACTAAAAGTATAATCTTCTTTTCAATCCAATTGACAATGGAAGAGTACTAACCAGCTAGAATCGTTTACACTTTTTTTTTTGACTTTCTTTTTTTAAAGTTCAAAATTATGAGCTTCTTTTAAACTTTAATCCGATGATACAGCTTAAATTTTTGCACTTTGTTTTGAACTTTTCGGTCTGTCCACACCAAGTGTAAGATGAAAATTTGAAATGCAAAGTTGAATTTTCATAGCTTTATAAAAAAATGGATTAGAAATGTATATATATATAATCATGGTAAAATATATCGGTTTTATTTTATTTTAATTCTTTCTCTTTGCCTCTGCGCCTCTAAGTGTAGTCACTGCAATGACGACACAAATCCACACATATAATTTGCACTTATTTTTGCTTCATATTTTAAAAAAAAAATGTTTTAAAAAGGAATATATATATAAATATATATATATTTATTAAAGAAAAGAAAAGGCTTAATGCACACAAAGATAATGACCAGTATGAATGAACTAAAGCCAGAAGATGATTTGGTGTCAAGAACTAGGAGTAGACAGGTAAATAATTTACTTAATGAGCTTGATTCAGCTATACATACATGCATACATCTGTACCTGTACCTGTATATATACCAACAACATATCACGCACACATCACGTACACCACATTTATATACGATATGCATACATTCTAAGCACAATTTGCTGCTAGTTAAAAGAAAATGAATATAATACAAAGCAAAAAAAAAATTAAAATTACATGATCCTCATGTAATCATTAATTCTTGTGTGTTTCCTATTTATTTTTTTTAAAAAAAAAGAATCTTAAGCTAATATACTATTTCATTTATATATATATATATATATGTATATCTTCTATTAAATCGTAAATAGCAGATTATAAGTGAAAGTAGTCGAGCACAGACTCGTAGAAGGGTAGATATTACACAATCTCACACTTGTAAACCAAAGGGGAAGAGGATTCCAATTCCAATTCCTGATTCTTCTGGTTCTGTACGTTTGTAATATTAATTTATATATATATATATATATATAAAGAAGAGAAAATAAAGAAATATGTTGTCTTTGGCTTTGAACATTTATATTTGATCAAGATAAAAAGAAGAAGAAGAAGAAGATTTTATTGACACTAGTAATTGATGCTGTAAATAGGGCCCCATTCGGAAACGAAACAAACTCAAACAGTATCCTTTACATAAGCATTTGTCCAAAAGATTTGGAAGTTTAAGTGTGGACAAAGAATCGGGTATAAATACAAACTTTTACTTTTTCTATTTCTTTCTTTCTTTCCTTTTATATACTATCATTTCGACAATCACAATCACAATCACAGCCATTATTATAAACATACATATGTTATATAACTTCTTCCTTAAGCCGAATGTCCTTTTATGCTCAGGCTTCATATTAATCCTTATACCAATTCAATACTCAGCCTATTTCGTCCAAAGATTGATCTTAAACCCTATACCAAAGGGAAGAGCTTCAAATCTTTGCAACAGAAAACACTGAATATAGCCACTATTTAAGCACCAAAGCCAAAGATAATGATTTGAAGCCTAAGATCAATTTTCGGCTTGAGGAAGAAGTGATTTATTATTTATTATATATATTTAAAAACCTTCTTTATCGTCTTCTTTTTCGTCTTTCTTCTTTATTCTAGAAGAGATTAAGGTGCCTAAAAATATCGAGAATCGCACCGAACCATACGTTGTATGTTAATGACACAATCAACTGCACATTCATCAGTTAACAAGCAGTAAAATGTCTTGGAACTCATAATTTATTATTACTTTTTCTTTTAGTTATCAAGCCCAAAACAACACGCGTCTATTGAAAGCAAACCAGCCGATTCAGTAACTACAACTTCAAACCGAAATGCAAAAGTAAACCCAAAGGAAGAGACCAGTTCGAGTCGAGAACTATTAGAATATGATTTGCCTGTAAAAGATTGCGAAGTTGCGCTATGTAAGTTTTTCTTTCATATATATTTGATACTTGATATTTGTTCACCTTATATTATTCTATTATCATATATACATGTATAATGGATTAAAGATAGAAAAAAAAAGATAAAAAAGATAAAAAGGAAGAAAGAGAAAATCTAATATTGTGTATAGCACCACTGTCTCTGGTAAGCATATGAAACTAGGAAATTATTGAATACAGTTTAGGAAATAATATCCTAGAAAATGTATCTGTATATTATAATGTACAGAATATAAAGCGAAAGGAAGATATAATTAAGAAAAAGAAGCTTCGTCTACGCATTGAAAAGGTAAAGAAGAAGAAGAAGGTGCTGAACATTCATTAGAAATTGCACGGAATTGATATTGATACTAAATTACACTTATTTATTATCATAGGATGAACCTATTTTGGACACTCCGTTTTCAACTGTTGAAACATTTACACGACCTAGAAGATCCACAAAAATAAATGTACCGCCTGTCCTAAAGTCTTACTTTAGAGATAGAGGAAAACACAAGCGTATAAATATGCTAAAGAGTAAAGAAGAAAGTGTGTCCACATCCACACCTGTGTCCACATCCACACCTGTATCCACATCCACACCTGTATCCACACCTGTATCTACATCTACATCTACGTCTACATCTGCGTCTGCGTCTGCGTCTGCACTTCCATATGTACCTATATCAAAGCTTCTTAGTGGTCGGTGTCGTATCCCTTCTAGCTCTCAAGCTATCCTGCGTCATGACATATTCGCTTTTAGCACTTCCAATCCAAAGTCATCCTCGTCTATAGTTTCGAACAATAAACTCTCCCCTTCAGACGAGCCAGAAATTATTTTAAGTTCTGAAGACGAAGATAATAATACTGATGAAGATAATGTGTAAGTAATGCCTTTTTATTCTTCTATATATATATTGCCAACCAAAAAAAAACTCCCTCCGATTATTATCGTTGCATTTGGGATACTTTAATATTAGATATCATATACGAACTTAGACAGAAGTATCTGTCAAAGAGGTCGATACAAATGATTATCCAATTTGAAGCTCCTATTTGAAAGAGGATAGTGATATGTCTGATCCATCATTATTGGATTATTCTCAAGTATTTAAACTACTAGCACAGAGCCGTTACAATGAATAGTATCCAGGGTTACTGAGTATATCTCAATAGCTATGAATACAGTAGATAAGATAGTTGTTAACAAGATAATTTAATTTGACTGCACTTATTTTCTTTTTGATAATAATAAAAGAATCTCAAAGTACCTAGTGCCTCAACTTTTCCAAACCTAACATATTACAATTATTAACTTGGATATCTCTTGTAGGCTATTCATTTATCCACCTGATAATAAACAAAAAGGAGGTCAAGTACTTGTCACTCGCCGAGACGAAGAGAAACTAAAGCGCGGTGAATATCTCAACGACGCTTTAATAGACTTCTCCTTGCTCTGGTTACTTGACATGGCAGCAAAGGTCGCGGGTTCAACCATTAAAGATGATGTACATATTTTCAACTGCTTTTTTTATTCGGACCTTATGGAAAAGGTGAAAAACAATGATCTACACAGTCTCAAAAAATGGGGCTCGAAAATCGACATCTTTAAAAAGAAGTACCTTGTTATTCCAGTAAATGAAAGGTATAAACCACTTGAAAAGGATCCGGCTATAAATAATAATACTTGTAACAAAAAACAACAAAGAAAGACTGTAGTTAATTCCGTTTCTTTTCTTTTCTTTTTGTTTGATTATTAATAGCTACCATTGGTTTTTAATGATTGTCTTTAATGTTGACCAATGTATAGCTCGTTCAGAATGTGACAGAGTGTAAGTATTACTAGATAAAATACTTCTAGCGTGGTTGTTTTGTCATCATTTAACCCTCTTATTGTTATTAAATTTTCTTCTTCTTCTAATAATATATATATATGCGTAATAGGCCACATATATATATGTTAGACTCGATGGGAGGTAAACGAAGTCATTGCCAAAAGTCTCTAGCAAAATACATAGCACATGAGGCTCAGAGTAAACATGGAGTACCAGAATCCGACTTTCTTGCTCCTCGACGTTCATCTCCGAAAGTCCCAATGCAAAACAACGGCAGCGATTGTGGACTCTATCTTATTCACTTTGTTGAAATATTTTTGAAAGACCCACAGAGGTGTCAAAATCTACTTGATGTAAGTCTTCCGATTAATTTTTGATTTTAGAAAAGAAAATAGAGCAAACTTTGTCCTTCAAACATATTTCTCGCCTTTGCCTTTTGTCTTTTGACTTTTGACTTTTATTCTCTCTGTTATAGGCAAAATACTGCGACAACGAAGGGTGGGAGACCAAAAGAATAAGAATGAAAAGAAAGGAGCTAAAACGCATTATCAAAAACCTCCAGGTGTAATGTAGCTATGATATCTATGTCTTAAAAATCGAGACAATAAATAACTTAATGCTATTTATTGCTATAAGAAAATTTCAGTTAAATCGAATTATCTTGCTAAAAAATATAGAAATATATCCACTCACCTTGAATTATTACTCATTTTAAAGACTTTGTAATAATAAGCTTAAGTACTTCTTGAAGATGATCCAATATTATATATAGAAGAATGTTTATTGACTTTTCTTCTTTTTTTAAAAAAAAAAAAAAACATCGAGATTGTGCAAAACACGATAAGAATTATATAATATTCTGCTCTTTTGTTATTGTATTGTATAGATACATATCCAAATAATAATTTCTTCTTCTTTTTCAGTATCATCTCTGACTTATTTCGACTTGTGTTTTTTCACTTTTGGACTATCGGAAAGATCGATTTTAACACCCTTAAGTTTTTTCTTTGTGCGATCATTACGGCTAGATTTCTTCGTTCGTTTACGTGAATTGTCTGATTTTTGGTGATTCACAATTATGTCCTCCGCTTGATCTGTTTCTGATTTAATGCTGTGTTCCACGTTTGCTTGCTTGCTTTGTTCGGGTTCATTATCCACGGATTCGAAAGCGTCTTTTGTTAAATCGTTATTCTCGTCAGGGTTTGTGTCTTTATTGACAGCCGAGATTTTGGCATCAAGACTAGTGGTAATATGTTTTGTGTATTCTTCTACAAGTGAACCTAAAGATATATCATAATGTTAATATGTAAAGAAGAAACATATCATATAAATATTAACCTAGGCACATTAGGGCAGATATGTCAAACCTATTCACGTGTTTTGGCTGCCTTTCAGCGGAAAGGTATAGATTTGTAAGTCTATTAACACTTTCAAGAATACCCTATTAAATCAAGCAAAATGCAATCCATAAATAAGCGTCCACAAGGCTTTACACACACAAACAGACATATATATATATATAATAAAGATAAAATCGCTCCAGTTATTACCAGAGGAGGATGTAATTCGATATCATCTTGAAAAAAACAGTAAGTAATGTGCGTAATAATGATAGTAATAATAGCAGTAGTAGTAATAAGCACAGGCCACACACAGAAATACACACAGACATATTTTTTAATATTCTCAACCTTTATTATCATTAATAATAATAATAATAATATTGCCTTCATTGAATTGAATTTATTGAATTTATACTATTGTGTGCAAATATACGCGTACATACGTATACACATACACAAAAAGAAGTAAACCAATTCCTACCTGCCGATTCAAACGGCTGTGTCATGTCAATATGTTTACTGTCTTTTTCGGTAATTTCACCATAGAAAAGAGCATTATTTAGTCTATATGCTTCTCTATCAAAGATATATTCTTCTTCTTCTTCTTCTTCTTTATCTTCTTCTTCTTCATCTTTTTCTGATTCGGTTGGGTTTTTGCCGAGTATCTTTTTAAGTGATCTCAAACTTCTTTCTTTTTCAGAATTCTTGTGACTTCCAGAAAGCTTCTTCCATTTTTCCATATAGTCATCAGTTGTATTTTCGTCTTTTTCTGGTTCGTCATTCTCTGAAGAGATTTCAAGGTCTTCTATAAACTCGAGCTGTAAATCTTGTTCTGCCATGATTAAGTTGTTATTTTTGTTGTTGTTGATGATGTTGTTGTTATTGCTGTTGTTGCTCTTGTGCGATCTATTAAAAGTATTCTGTATTTAAAACAAAAAACAAAAAAGAAATTAAGGAAAAGTAGGTGATTTTGTGTGTATATAAAGTAACTGTTACTATTGCCAAAAAAAAAACTAGCGTTTGATGTGACTGGGTAACTCCGTCGTTGTTGCTGTTGTTGTTGCTGTTGTCTCACAGCTTGGATCACTGACTAACTTGACCGAATAAGTTTACATATATACATAATATATATATATTATAAAATAAAATACAAAATACAATATATATATATATATATATATATTTGCCAAAACCTCTTGGTACAGAGAATTTCTGTCAAAAGACCAAAAAAAAAAAAAAAAGAAAAGAAATTCAAATCCCTTCAGCTCTTCCTTCTTCGGCCCTTTTTCCTTTTTCCTCCCCGACACACGGACACGACAAGGCCGCTAAATTTTAAAAGCATATATCTTACAACATTGTCATAATTTAATACAATGTCTCATCAAAGCGGAATCAAAGGTACATTTTTGTAAATCTGTACATGTATTCATAAGAAAAAAAGAAAAAAGAAGTAATAGTCGTAGCTGTAGCTGTAGGTGTAGCTGTAATCGTAGTAGTAACAGACGAGAGAGAGAGAGAGAGAGAGAGAGAAAGAGAGAGAAAAAAGAGTTTAGTTGCTTGATTTATTTTATTTTATTATATTATATTACATTATATTTTATTTTTACTTTTACTTTTCTCCATCTTAATCGTCATCTTGTAAAATACACAGTTTCTGAAGAACTTGCCCAGACTTTTTCAAATGCTGTTTCTGGTGGTGAAACCCGCGTCATTCGCATTTCAATCATAAAAGGTGAAGAATCCAGAGTGCAAGATTACAAAGTTCAGTAGTTAATAAAGTGTTAATATAGAATCTCTGGAACAGACTGGTACTAGCCCTGTTGAAGGTTCTCTTGAACAAGGTTTGTCAAGCTTGAAACTAAATAGATACATGAATATATACAATACAATACAATACAATATAATATAATATTATATATTATATAATCAAGAAAAAGAGAGGAGAAATTGTGGGATATAATGTCAGAGACACAAAATAACACACAATAGATTTTGTAAAGGTCGGAAAGCTTCTAGAAGATAGCCAGCCTTCGTTTATTTTGGTTAGATTAGACGAGAAGGCCCCAACAGGAGAACACAAGTGGTTGTTTATGAGTTACGTTCCGGATAATGCAAAAGTGCGCGACAAGATGCTTTACGCTTCTACACGCGCAACATTGATCAAAGAATTAGGTGATTATCGCTTTACAGAGACCATGTATGGCACTCAGGAGGTATGTTTGTAGAATATAACAGATAAATAAATAAATAAAGAAAGAAAGGTAGAAAGAGAAAAGCACCAATAATATATATATATAAAACAAGTGTATGTATGTACAAGTTACTTAAAATGAATATGATCTATTCAGAACGAGTTCACAATAGACAGCTTCAAAAAACATATTGCTCACAAGGCAGCCGACAAACCTTTGACAAGACGTGAGCGTGAATTGGCGGAAGTCAAAGCAGCAGAAGTAAGAATATTCAAACTGATATATATAATATAGATAATATGGAAATACAAGAACACAGATAAAATCAAGTGTATATAGATATATGTGTGTGCGTGTGTTTGTGTATTACTATATAATCTTTCAAGAAAAGAAAAGAAAAAACTAATATCTCTCTATCTCTCTATCTCTATACATCTATCTATCTATTTATTTATTTATTTGTGCTTGTACACTTAGGCCAAGGCTGTAACTGATTATCAAGGCACGAGCACACGCAAATCCTATGCCGCCGGTGTTTCATTTCCTCTTACAGAAGAGGCTATCAATGCACTTAATAACCTTGCAAAGCCAAAGGAAGAGCGAGAACACAATTATGTGTCATTGGTAAATGCAAGATAAAGGATAAGAATAGGAAAATACGGGAAAACATATAGTAGCAAATAGCAGTAGCAATAGTGGCTGTGGTGGTTCTTATTACTATAATGATCGCGGTTACGATTATATGGTGTGAATTATGAACAAATGAGCTAATAATCAAATCTTCTAGTGTTTGAACAACGAGAAAATTGATCTTGATACAGAATCTTCTGTACCTGTGAATAAGTTAAAAGACCAAATTCCCTCTAATGCGCCACGATTTACGTTTTATGCATTTGAACATGAGCACGCAGGAGAAACTAAGGAGGCTATTGGTAGGTGACAGATATTATATAAAAATAATATATATAATATAATATATAATATAATATATAATATATAATATTATATAGAAATTCATTTGTGGCCTAAAAAAAACCTATTTTGTATTAGTATTTGTTTATACATGTCCTCCTTCTTCAAAGATTCGCGAGAAGATGCTTTACTCGTCTTCAAAGTCAAGTGTTATCACAGGAACTGATAGTGAGACGGCTCTCAAGATTGCCAAAAAGGTAAGAACAATAAGAAGCTTGTTTGCTTTCGAGGGCACATATGCAGGTCACTGTGTATCTATGTATCTATCCACCCATATTTATGTACAATGTACTCACAAACAAACCCAAAAACCCAAAATAACAATAACAATGATACTTTTTTTTTTTTTACTTTAGTATGAAACCAGTGATCCTAGTGATGTGACAAGCGAGTACTTCTTGGAAGATCTGTACACTCCTCTCGCATCTTCATCATCTGGTGACTCTACGCAGAGTGGAGCAGGCATTGGAATTGTGGCAGATCGTATCCAGATGTTGGGATCAACTCAGGGAGGGTTTAAGAGACCATCTGCTCCTGGAAGAAGAAGACCTGGAGCTCATTAGAATGAATTTCTTTTTTTAGTCATTTATTTATTTCATTTGATCCTTTTTACAATTAACAATTAACAATTGGCAAAAGATTTCTTGATTATCTCACTCTTTTTCTTTTTGGTCTTATTGTCTTGAATGTACTCTAGAATCATTCGATGTTTTTGATATCATATTGGGTTTAGTTGGGCTGTGTTCATGGGGATTGTTCATGCTGTACACCTCATTAATCTGATAAATATTGGCGTAGGTTGTGGCTTAATGGGTAGAAATTCACATAATATAATAAATTTATATTTATAATTTAATAATTTATAAAACACGCACACACAGACACGCTATATATACACATACATGCACGCATACACACGCACGTACACACACACACACAATGCTGACAAGGGACATGTCCGTGGGATTATAGTGATAAACTGCTTGTGAAAAATGGAATATGAAAGAAGCATGAAAAGCTCTTCTATTTTGAAGAACCAACCATTAAAATCTAATGAGGCTAGTCTTGAGTTTTTATTTTGCTAATATTGCTTTTACTGTTGGGTTTTTTCAAAAAGTTTTTTTTTAGCTTTGATTTAGTGCTTGTAGAAATTGATATCTTTCCTAGTTTCATTATTATTCTTTCTTGTTTGATCCACCAGCATTTCTTTCTTTATCCATGCTTGCTGTTCCTTTCTATTCACCCGAAATTCCGAGCTGGAGTGCATGTTATTTTTAATACCCGGCCAACAAAGTTTTACAATTATTTGTTAAAATATTTGCTCTTTTCAGGGAGATGTAAATTCAACAGTGGCACAAGTAAACTATATTGGGAAGCAGCCAACCAAATGGCGGTTGTATTGCACGCGCCTAAAGAGTCCTCTCCAGGGGTGTAGGTGAATGCGCTCACTCAGCCATCAGATTGGACAGAAGCCCTCACGTCCCTTCATTTGCGTGTGATCTGACGGGCCTTATCTTCCAGCTAGAGATAAATCACGTAAAAAAATGGCAAAAAAAAATTATTATATATGGTACAGCAACCCTTTCACTGGATTAGTACTCCCCGAAAGTGGCTCTTTTGTTTGAGGCTGTCATTAGAGGCACCTTCTAGGAGAATGTTTATAAATCTACCTTCTCCCTCTTTACTTGGGCTCCTTCTTTTTTTTCTCTTCTTCTTATTCTCAATTTTACAGTTTTATAGGCTTTGTTTTTACTCTTTTTTTTTAGCAAAGCAATACAGCATTACACCCACAAATACAATCAAACAAAAGGAGAACAAAACGACAGTCAGGCATCCAGACAACCAAACGGCTAGCCGACTATATATTTCTCTAACTAAAAGTCTATATTATTTGCGTTCTTCTTATATTGTTTCCAATATATGTATCCGTTTATACATTAAGACATATCAAGTTAACAACCATATAAAAAAGGCATTTAAATTTACGAGCAAATAACAGCGTAACAAACAAACAACACAAACACAAACAAAAACCGAAATCAGAATCAAATCGACATATGCCACACTACCATCTCGATATTGCCGAGTTTCCTGTTCCTCTGCTACTCAAGATCGTAGCCAATTTGATAAACTCGATTATCAGCACAAACGATCGCATTCTCACATCAGAAAATATCACACACTTCCATTCTCGGGCTGTACCAAACATTGCTGTCCAAGCATATATGTCTAGAATACTCAAATTTGCTCCATTTCCAAACGAAGTTCTGCTTTCTATACTTGTTTATTTTGATCGAATCGCAAAATTAAAGAAAAACAGGATTGCCATCAGTTCACTCAATATCCACAGGCTACTTATTTCGAGGTACCTCCCCTCCCCTCCCCTATATATACATATCTACCTTTATACTATCATTATTATTAGGACCTTAATTTTTTATTGAAATAATGAACGCAATCATCATTCAACCTAATACTTATAAGCCTGTATGTTTCTTTCTTCAATTTTGTGTCTTTTCAAAAACATAAATATATACAAAGTATCGTCGTTGCATCTAAACTTACGTCAGATGTTTTCTATTCCAATACTCGGTACGCAAAGGTAATAAAATCAAGATCAGAATCAAAAGCAAAGAAAGTCAAAGACAACAGAACAAATATCGAAATATCTTTTTGGGGAAAGAGAAAATCAAAATACATTTTTAGAGTCTAGAAATATCTTTGCGTATCTATCTTTGTGTATTTATATCTATTATATCTATTATATTTTTAAAAAAAAAATACATATTTATACATTTTATACTTAAATATACCTATGTCAAATTCTATGTATTTTTCTTATAGGTCGGAGGGTTGTCTCTATTAGAGCTCAATCAACTAGAGCTGGAGTTTTTGTTTCTGTGTAATTTCGATCTTCATGTTCGACTTCAGGACATGCAAGTTTATGGAGACCAGCTTTTAACGCACGCAATGTCACAGCAACAGACCTTGGTAGAACTTACGAATCTTAATATCTTTCCTCCACCGTTACGTATTCTCACGGTGTGTGACACGGGAGCAGAAGAAGAGGCAGAAGAAGAAGACGATGAAGAAAGAGAAGAAGACCAGGTCCTAAAATCTCCCAGTGAAATCTCCCCAGACAATGATGCAGACCAGGTCCTACCCATCACACCTCCATATCCTGTGGCTGTTGACTCTTCAAAATCAACAGAAAAAGACTCACTGTCTAGAAGGTCGGCAAGCCCAAACTCGCCAACGTCAAGGCAGCGGTCAATAAAACCAGAAAAGACTTCACATTTGCGCTACTCGCCATACTCGCTGTCAGTCTCATCAAAAGCCAAGAGATTGGCATCGTCACCATACAAAGGGTGATGTATATTTATTGATAGTAAATAGTCTATACATACACAAAAATACCACAAAACAAACCAACCCAAATTGAACAAGAACAACTCAAACCAGACCAGACCAGACCAAACAGCTCTATCATATCCCTGTCTCATGCTCTCTTCCTTCCTTTTATTCTTTCCTTCCTGTATTTATTTTATTTTATTTTATTTTTTTACCCTTTACATTACTCTCCAATACCCTGTATACGTTTGTCTTATTCCTTTTCTTATTCTTTGCTTTTATATACTTTATTTTTATTCTTATAAAAAATGACAGCCAAGTATACATTTTCCCAAGAACCTTTTCTTTATTTTATTTTCGCTGGTTTGTGAATGGTTATAAAAAGATATTATAAGTACCACGTATTATATACATATATATATCGTACAAAAACTTTCTCTTTATATTGTTCTTTTTCTTTCTTTCTGTGTGTGTGTTTGTGTGTGTGTGCGTTTCGGGTAATTATATACTAATGAGGGGTTTTATAGGGAGAAACTTGGAACAGGTTAAAAAATAAATAAATTATACCTGCCTACAAAATATTTAAATATATGTATAGATATACAGAAGCTCTCTTTGATTCTTTATCGTATATTATTACTATTATTGACAATGAATTTAGCGTATCTGATAAACAAACACATTCTTTATCAGAGTGCTTTCATTTGTCTACAAAATTACAGAAATGAGATTCAGAAGTGGAGTTTTCAATATCAACGACTCAATGCACAGTAACACAGGCACACATACTATATAGAAGAGTGTGGGTGTTATAAAGTATTATATATCCGAAATAAAATATTTTTTAAGATTGATTAAATACACGTTTATTAAGCTATGCAACTCCAGTTAGATAACAGAGATAGTACACTATCTATTATCTACTATCAAATTAAATTAAACTTTCTTTTGGATATGTATACATATATACACTTAAAGACAAGACAATTAAAGCATTCATTGTATTCCCGGTAAGTTTATAGGCAAACAGTAATAGTAATAGTAGTTGTATTATTATTATAATTTTTTAAAAAAAAACAACTCATTACTTCAATTAGACAAGTCGTGGGCATACAAACTGAACAATTTGGTCTTTTTTGCCGTTTTTTTTTAAAAAATAAAATAAAATTCAAGTTGGTTGAGTAACAATTTTGAGAGGCATAAATATCTCATCGTGTGATGGCAATATATTCTTGTTACAATAATGTCAAAGTTCAAAGGTACATGTACATCTATACACATACTTATATATCTTGTACGATGATACTCCTTTACAAATAAATAATTCTCTATCTAAAAGTCAATATTAAATATTAGTAAATAAAGTATAATTAAAAAAGAAGGGGAGAAGGCATATAACCTATCAATAATAGGATTCCATAGTACTAAAGAAGATGAAGAAGAAAATGGGTGTTTTAAGTAGCAAAAGATTCTAAAAAAAAAGATAATATTCCTTAAAGTTCAATATGTTCATGCTTTGTTCGCCCACACATACTTCCATTCTTGTCTATTTACATCGAAAGTGGCACCAATTTTTTTTTAAAAAAAAAATGACAATAAAGACACATCCTCAACTGTCACCAAGTAAGCTTTGGTTACACTTTTAATTACAGCGTGAAAATACAAAAAAAAACAAATATTTCAAAAACTCATCTCCGTCTCTATTCCCCTTTATATACATATTCTTAATGGTCTATTTAATAATTAAAAAACAAAGAAAAATTGTGCTTGTACAATCCCCATGCCATTCAAAGCATTAGGCATATTCAAAGCAAAACATACACTAGGAAATAATAGAGCTATACACTTGATTTATTCTTTAACTTTGGATATGTATATTTGTATTTCGACGCTTTTAATAGTATCCGAATAGTCCTAAAATACAGATATATCGTGTATCATAATTAATCGATCTGTCCATGGTATTTAAACAGGTAGTGACCTTATAGAAAATATGCAAAGTAAAAGAAATGATCTTGAATGAATCGCTATTTTCTACATCTCATGCAAGTGTAACGCCTTTTGTCTTCCAGTTTATTTTTGACAGTGGGATTTTGTGAAATATTTATAATATTACACTCTATTGTTCTAGTACTACCTCTGTTACTTATAGTGTTTCTTTTGTTCCTGTGTGTTTATATAGTTTGTATATTACTAGCAGATATTTGCCCAGACGTACCTGAACAAGGTGGAATGAAAAGGTAGATCAGATAGTTAATGTTTGTAAGACGCCTATTTATAAAGTCAATGCATTTTGGAAAATTTCTGTACAGAATACATACTTGCTTTATGAAATATATATTTTATTAAGTAAATAGCTAAAATTTAGGTTTTGTCACTGAAGAGGTTATGCCTATATATACATTATTTCAATTTCTTTAATTTTCAAGTATTATAAATGAGAAGACACATTTTGATTCATGTTTTGACACGCAATATATATATATATACATCTACACACATATAGAGAGAGATATAAATAACGATTTATATGAGTGAGTAAGAGTGACATGAACAAAATTGACGACCAACGATTACTCCTTAACTTAATTCATTGGAAATAAATAATAAAATAAATTATTTCAATCAAATACTATTATTATATTACGACTACCTACTTGACCAAAACGGCTCAAGAGTAGTGGCTCATCAAATACTTCAACTAAATTCTACTTTAAAGCACATATTGAACATCCATAAATCTTGCAAAAAGCTCTTGCCAGAGTCTCTTATTTTCTTTCATAGTGTAAGAGACCCTACCAATGATGCAGACTACTCAGATTACCTCACTGATAAAAAACCAAAACCAAAAACTGAAGGGTCCTGGGCGTCTTTTAAACACAAATTAATCGATCTTTTAAAGTATATGTGGAAATCAAAATTACAAATGACTGGTGTTGACAAAATCTACTGAGCTTAAAAATTACGCTCAACTCTGAGAGAACTAAGAAAAAGAAAGGTGTCTAAACCTTGGCCTAGTGAATTCTTACTACAAGAAATGGAGGCAGTTTTTTCAATTTGTGGCTTTATTTTTTATCTAAAATAATTAAAAACTTACCAGAATCTCAAGTTAAAATAAATAAGCCCTTGTTTTTTGAAATGGTTAATAAAGAGCAAACTGACCATCTAAAATCAAATCTCAAAAGAAACAAAAGTACATTTTAACTACATACTTTACATTTGTGGTAACTGAAGATTCTAATTGAAAATTATTAAAAGTCAGAAATAAAAGTAGGGGAAAATCGGTGTGGACAGACTAAAAAGTTCAAAAAAAAAAAGTTCAAATCCATATTAGATAAAATTCAGTACTCACAGTATCATCTCTTCTATCATGTAAAAGTGTTTTATTACTGGTTTTTCTAAGCTCTGAATTCTATAGAGTGTCTTCTCCATCAAAAGCATGCCCCTCTACTCAATTCGTGTGACAATAAAAGGAGACCATGCAGTAAAAATCGTTCAAACATTTTGCCCTTTCTTTTCCTTTTTTGAACTTTTAGTCTGTCCACAGCAATTTTTTTTTAAAAAAAAATAAAAGAAATAATCAAGTTACGAGATAAACTAGCTGTTCCCATTGAGACAGGTTAATAGGCAATAATTGTACTATTCTAAGAAAGAAAAAACTATTTGTCCAAGTTTATTTAAATATTTTACTCATAAATTTTCAACACTAAAACAAAAACAAACATAATCCATACAGAAAATTGAAAACATTGGTTCAAATAAAATAGCAATAATAGCACTTATATTATTTAGTTTGTTTCTTCTTTATTTCATATATAGTATACTCATCTTCAAGCATTTATGATAAAATTTCTTCCTAAAGTCTATTATATGGTCTTTATATTGATATCAATTTAAGTGCTCATTACCCATGTGTACTACCTGTTTGTCTAAATTTATGAAAGCCTTTCAAATTTCTATAGCTGTCTTGATAGCCAAAAGTTATCTTGTGTAGCTTCAACTGTTATATAATGTGCAATTTCATCCTTATCTTTAGATACTTCTCTACTGTTTATTTCAATTGGGTGCACAATTAACATTGACTATAATATGTGCAAGAGTCAGATATTCAATTGATAGTTAAATGTTTACTTGTCTCTATTGTTTATCTCAATTGGGAGCACAATTACATTGGGTGTTATCCGTCCAAGAGTGATCAATAATCTTGCTTTAAAAATATAGAGATCAAATGTAAGCCATACGCAGAGTATCCCCCCTTTTTAAAGATATAGATAGATTGCCTTGCACTGACTGGGTCGCTTTATCACGTGATCCAGTGTCTCCCTTTCTTTTTAATAATATGCAAGATATTGATGAGAGAATAAAGCGATAGTTTTCGGCCACAGTTGAGTTTAAGTCAAACTATGTATGCTTTTGTATACTTTAGCATAGAAGTAAAAGCAGATATAATTGCTTTCTAAAGACATGCCTTTAAACCACTATTTCAAAAAATAATAGCATAGATCATTCAAATGTGCGCTTAGGATTCAAACGAGGAAGCTATATAATGCATGTTGTCATTAAAAAATAAAATAATAAAATTATACCTCTTATTAAAACCAGCCAATAGATTTATTCAAAGAATACGAAACTAATCATGACGCTTGAAATATATATATATATTCTCTTCTTCCTTTTCCATAAAAAACCCCGTACATCTAACTTGCTTTATTTTATTTTTTACTATGACAATTACAAATAACACAGTTATACAATTACTCCAACATATACAAGACACGTTGACTGACATACAGAAAGGCCAAGAGGAATTGAAAGAAAGACAGGATGCAATTCTGACTGAAATGGCAAGCATCACTACCAGCTTGAATGCACTTCGCACTCCAGATTTTTTTGCTACAACCTCTGACAATGCAAGTAAATAATAAAATGCATATAGCTCTTTGTATTGACTTTATATTCTACAGGTTTCTACTGGTTCTATTCCAAGACCAGTAAGCAACATAAGAGGCATAACTGTGAAGCATATTTATAAAATGATGGCCAAAGATCTTGGAGTCAAATTGACCAAGGAAAATAGAACAACACTTCAAAACTGTACACGTCTTGCATGTGACAACCTAGCTCTTCTTCCTTCTGTCCAGGCTCTGGGACCTTCTCCTAGTTGGAAATCCATCCCTCAAGCAGATAAAAAGGAGATTTGTGCCAATCACGCAAATACTCTCAAAGAACACGGTATTGATTTTACAAGGTGTCATCAGAACTGGGCATCAGTCGCAAGAGTTAGTCATCTATGGAAAGATCGCTATAGAAAGGCTACTACTTCAGAAGCACTATAAGATAGTAAGTACAATAGCATTTTTTATCAATATTAATATACGCAATACGCGATGTACTATAAGAATGATGGTCAATAATAGTAACGATTAAATATTTATTTATCATATAATAATATCAACCAATAATAAAATAGATTTTAAAAAGTTTCTGTAAAACTAGTTACACTATTATCCATATAAACCTTTAAATAAACAAAATCTTCAAAAAATAGTTTCCAATCAGGATAGCTGTACATATAAAGCAGTCAGCTATCTAGATATATACATTCTGGGTAAAGCGTGTTATCCAATTAAAAGTGCTTAATCAAGCAAAGCTCACATGGATCTCCCAATAGAAAGACGAATGTAAGATAAAATATGTATAGGGTGCACCTTTTTTATAATCGACAATTTTTATATGTAAAATTAGAAAACCATAAGGCTTTATGGGATCTTAATTTTTTTGAATTTTGTTACCGCTGAGTCGTTTGCTTTACTATTTACAAGATCTCTGCGGTGAGACTTCTTTTACTTCTCTGCAAAAAAAAAACTTTAAGCAAGATGAAGTTTCGATATTTAAGCAGGGAGGTTCAAAAAATGTCCTCATTTTCTGGCCAATAATAATGCTCCCTGGGTTTTAATTTGATATTTGTATAACGTATAGTGCATCTTTTTATAGTGTGTATTTTTTATTAATAAAACTAGAAAACCAAAAGGCTTTCTGGGATCTTAATATTTTTGAGTTCTGTTTGCTTTAATATGCTCTTAATGCTATTTAGAAACTCTCTGCGGTGAGACATCTACTACTTTTCTGCAAAAATATTTTTTTAAACAAGGTAACATCTCAGTGTTTAAGCAGTGCGGCCAAAATGATGGCTTCATTTTTCAACCAATAATATAACCAACTGAGTTCTTTATCAACTTACATAATGTAAAACGTTACTAAATAAGACAATCTATTTTAAAAAAAAAACAATTTGTTCCTGATAAAAACACAATCGACAATGCCAAAAATCAATTCTAAAATGAGAGCTTTATCTCAAAAAGCTGCTGCTAAAAGACTTTCTCACACTCAGAGCGAAAGTGTAGAGTTAGTTAGAAAGGAAGTTAATCCTACCCCCGAGATTTCGGAATCTTCTGGCAGTGATGTCAAAAATCTCGGACTTTCTTGGACCAAAAAAGCTAAGATGCTCTCAATGGAAAATACAGTCGCAATCGTTCATCATACTCATCTCGACATGTTCGTAGACTGAAAAAGGCAGAAAGAGAAGCAGCAAAAGGAAGTGCTAGAGTTGACTCCTTTTTTTTGCCTATCGCAAACTCTTCTTCTGCTGAGACAGAAATTGGATTGGATGAAGAAAGTGATAGTGCAGATGAAGTCGAGTCAAAGGAAGAGTTCAAAACCAGAGTAAAAGACGCAATCATTGACTTGTCAAAGTTCGCAGTACCTGTCACCAGTTCGACTTCAGAGCAGCAAAAACTTGGTGTAGCAGAGATGGGAAAGTACGAAGGAGCATATCATTACTTATATGCTTTGATCAATACGGACATGAAGAAAATGGCAGCTTCTAAGTTTGCAAGCGACATTGTATACAAGCAAAAATCTACTTGGTACAGAGCCCGTAAGATTCGCCAACATGCAAAGGAGTATTTGGAGACTAGACGAATCAGTCTTGGTGCACAAGGCAAGCATGCCAAACGTGTCTCTGTTCTTGATGATGAAGACATCAAGCAGCAAATACTCGAATGGTTCAGAAGTCAGCCAAGAGCTAAAAGAAGTATTGCTGGACTTTCAGTCCACTTGAAAGAAGTCATTCTGCCTAAGGCCATTGGTAGCAGCTTACTATCAGATGAGTTAGAGATCGAAGGTAGTGCAATTAAGCCGTTGTCTACAGATTGCCTAAGACGAAAGCTGATATCTTGGGGATTTCATTTTAAGCATTTAGGTAGGCAAATATAGAAAACCAGAATGCGGTTTTCTTTATAAAAATAGAATGTCACATTAATATAACTTATGTTTATTTTACAGGAAAAGTTGTATACTTTGATGGGCATGAGCGCGAGGATGTGCTTACTTATAGAAATGCATGGAGCAAACGCATGATGGAATACTATTAATACTCTGAGAAATATGACAATGTTACACCTTCTCTTGTGTCATATCCTCAATTGCCAGAAGGTGTCAAACAGCATGTATTTGTCACACATAACGAAAGTACATTCTATGCTAATGACTATCAAAAGTACGCCTGGGTGGAAGATGGTGAAAGCTATTGTTTGCCAAAGTCTGAGGGTAGATCAATAATGATCTCCGAGTTCCAATGCCCTTGTCATGGAACAATGAGAGGATATGTAGGAGACCAGTACAAAACTTCGCGAGTAGTATTTTATCCTGGAGCTCAATACGAAGGCTATTGGAAAAGTAGTCATATGTGTGCCCAGCTTACAGATATAATACCTCTTTTCAATGCCATACACCCAAATGCAGTAGCTGTCTTTCTTTTTGATCAAAGCAGCAATCATAAAGCCTATCCTGAAGACGCTCTTTTGGCACAAAACATGAACTTGTGTGCAATTGAAGTAAAAGACAGTGACTCAGGCCAGGGAAAATTTCGTGACAGCTCATTTTATGTCAGAAAGCAATACGACTATGCAGAACAGCAAAAAGTTTTTTTTTCAAAAAAAGAGTAATGAAGAAAAACTTAAAGAATATGAAGTAATCGAGTCTCGGCTCCATAAAGTAAGTGATTTATATACAATCCTATCCGAATAGAAACATAATTTATACAATTACAATAAGGGATCACTTTATGCTAAAAGACGTGTCTATAAACTATTCATACTTAGAATAAAAAATACAAAAAATATTTCATTGGCCTTCGCGGCATATTACAGCAACGTTCTATGTATAGAAACGAAGCAGAGAGATACTCTTTAAAACGTTCTTGTAATAATGTCGCGACAGCTGATTCTAGATGTTGTGCAATCCATATTATGGAGAGACAACCAGACTTTGCCAACCAAAAATCAGCACTCGAAGAAATAGTTGAAGGCAGTGGACACAAATTTGAACTGTATCCAAAATACCACTGTGAATGTAATTGGATCGAAAGATACTGGGAAGCAGCCAAGAAAGAAGCACGACGTGAATGTGATTATTCTTTTCAATCATTGAATAGAAAAATCAATTCATTTCTGGATATTGTTTGCCCACCAGAAGATGATGTCCCTGAAAAGATTCGAAGATACTTCCACAAAAGTTTTGCCTACATCAATGCCTACAGTCTTGGTCATGATGCTGAACATGCATTTGAAATCGTGAAACAATTCTCAAAGCTTCACAAATCTCATCGTAAGCTGAGATTAAATCAATAAATATCACATTTCTGACTTTAAAAATACTATTTTGGAATCGGTACTTAAATTCCAAAAAATGTCCTCTTTTCAAAAATTGTCTATTATAAAAAAGGTGCACCCTAGTGAGATTTTTTTTTCTTCATTTGATGAGGGATCATTTTGATATTAATTATCAGAATTCAATTTGTTTTGAGCCTTACGAATCGATTGAGTATTTTTGGTCAAATGTTTTCAATAGTGTTTCTCAAAACAACCACGGAATCGATGAACTATCTCTGATTATTTCCTGAAGAATAGAAGGATTTTGCTAGCGGTTATGGAAGATTTGACATTTTTACCATACTCAAGCAAGTTACTTTTCTCTCTCTAGAAATTCTATTCATGACTTGAAGTCTTCAAAGACTTGGTCTAGACCTTACCAAATTGACTGTCTCCAAGTTTGTCTTTTTTTTTTTTGATAATAATATCAGCTGGAAATAACTGAAATTCTAATTGATATCTTTGTATTGTACAACAGTGCTGAATATGTAAGCATGACAAACAAAGACTTCAAATATACATATATATATAAGTTATAAATCATTGCCACAAGGTTTTTAAGTTTCATAAAAGTCCGGCTGTAGACTTTTTTTTTAAAAAAAAAGATATTGTTAACTCAAAGTATACAAAGCCTTCATTAAAAGCTTATATAAATACATGGGCGTAATTTAGTCTATGTATATGTTTGTTTATTCATATATTATGCATACAATACTTTGATATACCACACAAAGTCTGGCACATATATAGTTTATTACTCTCTTTATTTCAAAATCTACAAGTATTCCCATTTTAAATAACCTACAAAAGGCAGGTAATTGGCGTATTTTAAGAAACATTAGGTTTCTTTTTATGGCCTGTCAAATAACCTACATACTTTTTACAGTCATGAAAACCAATCCACAATACAGAATAAAATAAATAGAGAGATAGAGAAAGGATATATTTCACAGTCGTAAAAAAAAGAAACCGAGTTTCTCACTTGATCTTTAAGTATCAAAATTAGCAAAATCCGCACCCAATTCAAGAACTAAGTTTGTGTATAATTGTTGTTTCTCGAAACTGTTAAACATTATTCTTGTTTTCCATAATATTTCGTGCGTATTTGTGTGTGTTTCTCCGTTTTCGCTTTTGTTTTCGCTCTCGCTTTTGATTTCTTTGTATTTGTCTATAAATCTATGGTTTATCTTTTGTGTATATATAAATGTGTGTGTGTGTAGGTGTAGGTGTAGGTGTAAGTGGATGTGGATATGTGTCGGTGTGCATAAAGCTGAGGCTATATATTTCTTAGTTGCCAGTTTCTGAGAGATTGTCAGGGGAGAATGAGCTGGAAGTTGGAGGAGTAGGGCCATTCTCTTCCATCTTTTGGGCAATCAATTTTTGGAATCCAACATATTTGCCTACGCATCGGTCAATGCATTTCGATTCACCCTTGTTCAGGTCAGGTTCATGGTAATCGGTAGGAACGCATTTGACTTGGCATGTTTCGAGGATTCTTTAGGATTTTTTTTTGTTTTGTTTTGTTTTGTTTTTGTGTATTAGTAAACGAATGAATATCACAACATTGACAAGCTAATTCACAAAAAGAGCAAGAGCAAGAGCAAGAGCAAAAACAAAAGATAAAGAGAAAATTATATTACCGATTGTAAAGTCCCATAAAGGCATCGACCTGTTTTTCTGCTGCAATCAAGTTCTCGGGATTGACATAGGTCTGAGAGAAACTACCCCAGGACGACATGGTTACTTCTTTTGGATTTTGTGTTGACAAAAAAAGGGGGTAGAAAAAGGAAGGATCGATGATTCTTTTGGGTCTGGGGGACGTGACTGACAAAGTTATCCGAATTTTATACACTTTTTTTATTTTATTTTATTTTGTTTTATTTATTTTTATTATTCTTATTTTTTTGTGCTTTTAATTTAGTTTCCATGGAGATTGCACTTTGGAAATAGAGAGAAAATCTATGAGTTATGATAAGGAAAGAGAAGAGACCAGGGCATATTTGACCATAAGAACGCTCTGCGTTTTATGTATGTAATATTAATAAATGTATTTATATATAGATATGTGTACAAACGCCTATTCAAGATAGTAACTGAGATTAGGAATTATTTCTTGTTCAATACTTCTTGTTTTTCTTTTAAAAAAAAACAAGAAGAAATTGAGTAGAGATAAATATGAAGAAGACTTGGATAGTGTTGTGAAATAGAACCAGATAAACAGTCTTTACAAACGTGTTTGTATGCATATGCAATTGTAATTATACTTGTGTTAGTGCCTATGTCTGGGCCTGTGCCCGTACTTGTGCCTGTTCCTGTGCCTGTGCCTGCGTCTGTGTCTGTGCTCATGCTTGCGTTTATGTGTATTATATGTATGTATGTGTATATGTATGAATGTATGTATGTGTAGTGTGTACATGTGCACGTGTGTGTGAGTGAGTGTGTAGATGATTGTGTTTTTTTGTCTTGATCCATAAATACTTTTTTTTGTGATGTACATGTCATAAAAGAGAAGAAGAAGAATAGGAAGAAGAAGAAAAAACCTTCCTGTTATAAATATCAAGAGGCACTTCTTCTCTTATGCAATATAGGGTATCCAGCCCATATCTAATAATTCATCAAAATGGCGTGCTGTTTCTTCTTCATCATCCAGACACGCAGTTGCCCTTGCGATCTCTTCTTCATCCGATATCGCATCACTCAAATCTTCACCGGGAATATTATATTGCGCACCCACATTATCCTCCACTGTTTCACCTTCGTCCTCATCTTCATCCTCATCATCATAATCTTCTTCTTCCAGACCTTGATCTCGATCCTTATTTTGATTTTGATTATCATGGCTGTCACCGACGTCGTCTACATTACTCCTTCTTCGTTTCCGGGTTTCTACGGGCCGGTCGTCTTCGTACCGGACACGTTCATAGCAAGGATGTTGTTGAACAAGATTAGCATAATACTGCTGTAAAATCAACCCGGAACTGGCCAAATGCCAATCAATTAAGGCCAAAAACTCGAGCTCGAGTGCATTGAGTTCTTGGGTCGAAAGACCACCTACTTTGGCATAATGAGAATTTGTACAATAGGAGTCGCAGAGTGCCTTTGATGATACTGTCACGGCAGTGATCAGGAAACGATGAACTGTGAGGGAGGATATTGTGAAGTGCGGATGTGATTCGCAAATACGGTCAATGTAGATGAGAAGAATCAGCAAACAGGACTTTTCGGCAGAAGTATATTTGACAATGCGACGCAGATAGTCAGAGAGGGAAATATTAGGTGGTGTACGGGAATGGAAGCGCGTGAGGTTGCTAGGCGTGAGCGGTATAAGGTCATTGTGGGATATAAGACGTCCGAGCATATCAGCTAGTCAGTCATGATAGTTCAATTATTTGTTTTTTGTTTTTTTTTTTGGTTTTTTGTTTTAATAATAATAAAGTATTAAAAGCCATGTAGACATATAGACATAATTAATAAAGAAGTAAATGAGTAAATGAGTGAGTGAGTAAGCGAATGAATAAATAACAAAAGAAATACAAATGTTAAAAGGACTATACCTATCATGTGCGTTAGGTAGTTGATGTCAACAGCATAAAAGTATTCGGGTACTTTGAAGATGGCTGTGTCCGTGCGTTGGGCCATGGCATGTAATATATTAGGATAGGCTGCAGGACAGAGCAGAAATAGAGTAAGAAATTTTTGGGTTTTTTATTTTATTTTATTTTATTTTATATTATATTTCAGTCAATCAATCAGTACAGAAGACTATCAAAGAAACGACTTGTTTCTGAAATAAAATAATGAAAAAGGGTTGGTTGAAAGGCGGCCAATAGATGAATATTATCAAAGTCAGTCAGAGGAAGGATTAAGGAAATAAGAATAAAAATCATAATGATGAAAACGCAGCAGCGGGCTTATGTATGTAGGTGTCGGTCTAATCATATTTCTGTCTCTTTATTTTATTTTATTCCATTTTTCTGCCTTTTATATATAACTATTTATCTCCTCTTCTTATCTCCCTTTTTCCCTTTATATCTCTACGAATGTATGGTTAGATACCTGAATGCCTTATATATCATATGCCTCCCTGTCTGGTTGACTGTCAATAGTTCTTTCTTTCTTTTTGACGCCTTACAAGCCACTCAAGGCCATTTTGATTTACGTCATACAAGATTCGGCGGTAATTTAAATTCATAGACACAAGAAAGAGACACCATTCTGCACACCACCATACCACTCACACTCTCACACTCCCCTCGATTTCTTGATCTCTATCATTAACGTACACTTCTGTTTGATTATTTGTCCGAGTATTGTGGTTATTTAAAGAATTTATTGATCTAAAAATATTGTGAATGTATATATGTGTATATATATATTTATTTTCTTGGTTTTTGCTTTGCTACATTGGGGTTTGTGCGTGAAAGTGTGTAAAAGGGGAGGGGAAAAGTGATGTAAAAAATGAAACTGCGGTTTGTGTCTTCAGCTGAGAAAGAGGGGAAAATGTTATTAGGGCATCGTCTTCTTGGCGCCGTTGGTATCAAAAAAGGAAAAGAAAAAAAGGAAATGTGAAATGAAGTTAAGTTGATCTGGTTTATTCTTCTAAGGCATCTTCGTCTTCGAGGTATTCTTCTTCTTCGTATTCTTCTTCACCATCAGCAGTGGCTTCCTGGTACTGCTGGTACTCGGAAACCAAATCGTTCATGTTGGACTCGGCCTCAGTGAACTCCATCTCGTCCATACCCTCACTAGTGTACCAATGCAAGAAAGCCTTGCGTCTGAACATGGCCGTGAACTGCTCGTTGACACGCTTGAACAGATCCTGGATGGCAGTGCTGTTACCAATAAAGGTACCCGACATCTTCATGCCAACAGGGGGAATGTCACACAAAGATGATTTGACGCTGTTGGGAATCCATTCGACAAAGTAAGAAGAGTTCTTTTGCTGAACAGCCAACATCTGGTTCTCGACTTCCTTGGTAGACAGGCGACCACGGAAAATGGTAGCAACGGTCAAGTAGCGACCGTGGCGAGGATCAGAGGCAGCCATCATGTTGCGAGCATCGAACATCTGGGCAGTCAGCTCAGGCACGCTGAGGTTGCGGTACTGCTGGGAACCAAAGGCAGTCAAGGGAGCAACACCGACCATGAAAAAGTGGAGACGGGGGAAGGGAACCATGTTGACACAGAGCTTACGCAAGTCAGAGTTCAATTGACCAGGGAAACGCAAACTGGTGGAAACACCAGACATGACACCAGAAACAAGCTGGTTGAGTTCATCGTAACCAGGGTTGGTCAACTTAAGGGTGCGGAAGCAGATGTCATAGAGTGCTTCGTTGTCAATACAGAAGGTAGCATCGCAGTTCTCAACCAGCTGATGGACAGACAAAACAGCGTTATAAGGCTCGACAACGGTGTCGGACACCTTGGGAGAAGGTACGACAGAGTAAGTGCTGAGGATTCTGTCGGGGTACTCCTCACGAATCTTGGACAACAACAAGGAACCAAGACCGGAACCGGTACCACCACCCAACGAATGACAGAGCTGGAAACCCTGGAGGCAGTCGGTGTTCTCGGCCTCTTTGCGGACGACATCCATAATAGATTCAACCAACTCGGCACCCTCGGTGTAGTAACCGCGGGCCCACGAGTTACCAGCACCTGACTGGGCGTTGATAAAGTTGTCAGGGCGGAAAATCTTGCCATATTGGCTGGAGCGAATCACATCCATGGTGGCAGGCTCAAGATCAACCAAGACGGCTCTAAAATATGACAGTGATAGTAATAGTAATAGTAATAGTAATAAAAATATTAATAAAATAATCATTGATATTGATTCATGTTTTGATGATTGCCTTACCTGGGAACATATTTTCCCTGGCTACCTTCATTGTAGAAGACGTTGATGCGCTCCAATTGAACATCATTGTCACCACAGTAGTTACCGTTGGTGTCAATACCGTGCTCTTGAGAGATGGTCTCCCAGAATTTTTGACCAATCTATGAAAACGAAGTAAGCAACTGTATAAACTATCAAATGCAATTTAGCTGTGTCGTACTTGGTTACCGCACTGGCCTAAGAAGATAAAAATAAAATATATGAGATGAGATGAGATGAGATGGGATGAAATATGAGATGAGAGATGAGGAGAGAAAAGGAAAGGAGAGGATAAGGAGTGAGAATTGGGGATGTGTTTGGCCAACTTACCAGCTTGAAGATGGATAATTTCTCTCATGATAATAGGAAGGAAAGAAGAGGGAGAAGAGAAATATGTATATAAAAATGAAAAAGAGGTAGAAGTAGAGGAGAGAGTGAGTGAATAGGATATCTTGGAGGTTTCGACAAAAATAAAGGTGTTTGGAGTCGACGTCACATCATGGTTATAGTGAATGCAGGCAAGTTAGTTGCACAACACGTGTGGATGGGATGATGGTAAAGAGAAAGATATATATTTATATACACATGTAATATATATATATATATGTGTATGTGTATGGGTGTATGGGTGTATGGGTGTGCGTGGGTGTGTATATATTTTCCTTATAAATAAATATTAATCAAGGATGAGTTTTTTTTGTATAAGGAGGTTGGGAGGGAAATACTCAACTGTCAAAATCCGACTTGATGTTGTACACGTACTCCTTCTACACCAATACTGCCACGAGGAATACGCCTTCTTACTCCGTCTATCGCGTGTCTACCCACTTGATTTGGTACAAACCAAAAAATAAATAAAATACAAGTGATTTTTTGTACCCAAGTGTAAATAAGTATGTATATTTATGTATGTGAACGTGCGTGCGTCTACGTATGTATTGTGTATTTGCGTGGGCTTGTATATAATTATCTAAAAAAGCAGATCTTTATCTTTGTCTTTATCTCTTTCTCTTTCTCTTTTATTTTTTTATTGTGTGTTGTGTTTGTGTGTTTGAAGGAAGGAAGGAAAGAAGGAAGGAAAGAAGGAGACGGGAATGTATTATATTTGGTTGTTTTTTTTTATTTGATCTTAATAGGGTCGGTACTGGCTGTGGTTTCTTGAGCTCTGGGAAGCGTGAAGTGCTCCACCACCACCGGGGCTAGCTACAGCGCCAACTTCGCCGTACACACGAGGGGCTCCGTACGATGAACGATCTCTCGAATCTCTTGAGAACCGTCTCTCATCTCTTGGTCTGCCGTCGTCTTCTTCAACACGGCCATATTCTTCAACTTCTTCCTCTCTGTAACCAGTCTGATATCCAGGTGCGTCGGCATAAGCACCGGGAGCAGCTCCAGCTCCACCAGCACCGTTGGCTCTTCCATAATAGCCTGCTCCAGCAGGTGCTCCCATGTAGCCAGGTGCACGGCCATAGTAAGCAGCTGCCATGTTGTAGTTTCCATAGCCACCGTACATGTTTCCGTACATGTTGTTAAAGCCACCGTAACCACCACGTCCGGCACCACCTCCAACAGGATTTCCATAAGCAGCGGCACCCGCATACCGGCTGTTGGGCATGTAACCTCCGCGTCCTGCCCCGCCAAAACCAGGTGCAAAGCCACCAGATGCGGGAGCGTTCCGCATCTGCTTTGACTTTGGCATTGCTTTCTTTACTTCAATCTAGAAAAGTGATGATTAAGATTAGAGATCAATTACAATTGCATTTCTATTAAAAAATAGGAGAGGGGAAAAAAGTAGATTTTTCTAGGTACGCTCTCAGATATATATATAAAGAGAGAGAGAGTATATTTACCGGTTTTCCTTTGATGGATAACATGGGATGACGCAGAGCTTCATCGACACCATTGCTGCTTTCAAAAGTAATGAAGCCAAAACCACGGGGTCTACCAGTGTCACGGTCTGTCATGAGAGTGGCATCAGTAACCTTGCCGAAGCGAGTAAAGAACTCCCGGAACTCTTCTTCGTCAACCTCGGCTGAGATTCCACCAACAAAGATCTTCTCTGTCTTTTCTTGCTCCTCGCGTGGAATGGCGCGTTTAGGATCAATCTGCAATACAGAAAAAAAAGAAAACAAATAAAAAAAACACACGTACACGCACACGTAATGTAATGTAACGTAAGGTAAGGTACACAGACAGATAGAAATTGACTTTAATAAGTTTTCCACGACAGAACAAAAGAGTAATCCGACTTTGACAGCAAGAAGACAAATATAATAATGATAAGAGTAATTAAAAGGCTACAACTTACTCGTTTGCCATCTAAATAATGGTCTTGGCTAACAATGGTATCGACTACATTGGTATCCAGCATAGTGAGGAAACCAAAGCCACGGGAGCGTCCAGTGGCAGGATCACGCATGACAACGCAGTCAGCGACTTCTCCAAACTGCGCAAAGTATTGACGCAAAGATTCTATATACATATACAAACACACGCACAAAAATAAAGATAAAAATAATAATTGTGTACATGTGTCTTGGAATCAATATACCGCTCTAAACCTCTTTCATGTGCAACTTCTCTGTGTATGTGTGTAGTTTGTAGTGTGCTTTGTGTGTAGTTTGTAGTTTGTAGTTTGCAGTGTGCAGTATACAGTGTGCAGAGTGCAGAGTGCAGAGTGCAGTGCAGAGTGCAGTGTGCAGAGTGCAGAGTGCAGTGCAGAGTACAGAGTGCAGTGTTTGCTTTTTGAAGCCTTGCTTCTTTAACCCTAATTTTGCGTGTGTTTTTTCCACCCCCTTGTACTTTTCTCACAGAAACCATTCAATTTGCGACGCTTACCATCGGTAGTTTCCCAATTGAGACCTCCGACAAACATTTTTCTGTATTTGCAAGAGTCACACGTAAACAATATGAAGAAAAATAGGTAGGTAGGTAGGTAGGTAGATATATAATATAGATAGATAAAATATAGAAAGAGGAATATAGCGAGGATTAATTACTGTACTATCAATCATAAAAATACCACTAAACCTGGGATTCGCTAAAGAGAGATAGAGATAGAGAGACAGAGAGATTGGAGCATCTAAGCTATGGCCTTGAATCTTGTAGAGTAATTTTTGGCTGAATTGCTTTTTTTGTTTCTTTCATTCTCATTCATTCATTCATTCATTCATTCATTCATTCATTCATTTTGTATGTATGATTGTATGACTGTATGTCTGTCTGTATGTCTGTCTGTTTGTATGTGTATCTTTCTGTCTGTGTATTCCTGACTTTGTATGGCTACTTCTTGCTATATTCTTCTTGGACTTGGCACTTGGAACTTCTCTTTGTATGCAGCTTATTCTCTCCCATTCTCTCTTTATCTTGTTTGATCCCCCATATATCTCTCTTTGCTTTTGCTTTTGCTTCGATTGCTTTTTTTTTTCAAATTGCTGTTCGAGCAACAATTTTAAAAAAAATATATTAGTGAAAAACTTACCCTTCATCTTGATTGGCTGCACTAGCCACGGAAGGTGCTCTTGGCTGAGAGCCATCGCCTTCCTCATAAGGAGCAGCTGGCTGACGCATCTGGCGTTGCATCATTTGCTGGGCCTGGTAAGGGTTTGAATTCACCTGCTGATAGTTGCGATAGCCGTTGTAAGGATACGCGTTCTGTTGAACCCCACTCAAGTTTTGACCCACATTTTGTGGTGGCTGTTGCACCACTTGCTGCTGCTGAGGAATCTGCGCTTGAGCTGTCTGCTGTGGTTGCTGAGGTTGCTGTACTTGCTGTACTTGCTGTGGTTGTTGAGGTTGTTGTACTTGCTGAGGTTGCTGTACTGCCTGTTGCTGTGGCTGTTGTGGCTGTGGTTGCTGCTGCTGTATTTGCTGCTGATCTTGCTGTGGTTGTTGAGCTTGCTGAACTTGCTGTGGTTGCTGAACTTGCTGAGGTTGTTGAGCTTGCTGAGGTTGTTGATACTCTTGCTCTCCTTCCTTAACATCCAACGCGTCTTGATACTCGTGTTCTTGCCCATCATTTTGGGCTTGTTTGACAACATCAGGTTGAGTAGCAGCAGGATCTGCTATTTGGGGAGGATCATATTCACCTTCATTGGGCTTTGAAGGACTGGCATTTGCAGTTTCCTTGAAATCCTCAGTATAAATGTCCGCGTTTGCGAAAGCTTCATCCTTGGCGCCATTGTAGACGTTATAAAGTTCATCATCAAAATCGTCAGACATGATTTATAGGATTATTAATAAATATATACTATATATTTATATAGAAAAAAAATAGGGAAGAGAAACACAAAAAAAAGAAAAGAAAAGAGAGAGAGAAAGATAAATATATAAAATATAAAAATATAAAATAAAATAAAATAAAAAAAAATATAGGATTTGTCGTGTGTGTTTTTATTTTTTTTTTCTTAAAAAAATTCACGGGTTGGGGAGGGATTTTTTTTCTTCCTTTCTCTCTTGCTTCTGGTAGGTTAAGAAAATGGCTATTGGCACCCCTGAGGTCCGCTCATGTTGCGTCATGATATGTGACGTATTGATTTGACTTTCTATCTGTGTCTTAAACGGGCATTTAAGTCAACTTTATATATATATATTTGAAAAATGAACATAGCAATTAGCCAATTATAATTCTAATTTTACACGACCTTAAATTATATTTATATGTATATATTTATTGAATTTTGTATTTCGTATTATAAAGCTTATTCTTTGTCAAAGGAGATAAAAGAATACATGATATACAGGAGACTGTTGTTCAATTTATTTAAGACCGAGGACACTGACATGGTCTAGGCTGTAATTGCAATTACAGTTGTAACCGTAACCGTAACCTTAACCGTAACTGTAACTGTAATTGTAACTTAACTGTAACTGTAATAATAATAGTAGGTACAGTAATTACGGTGCAGATTTTCGTTATTTTAAATTTGTGTACGTACTTTTAACATTCAGTCTGCGTTGAGTTAGAAAAAAGCCAAAATTTAGCTGATTAGGTAATTCAGAAAATTTTAAAATAAGGACTTTAATTACAAAAAAAGATATGCTAAGCTACCTTTAATTATAGAACTTATTTTCTTATAAGAAAATTTAAAAAAAACCTCTATAGAAATAGATTTAAACGGTATTTTAGGAACATATTAGGGACCTTGGACACATCATATAAAATTTATTTAGACGGAGATTGTGCTCTTAAAAAGGAATAGTGTGTTTCAAAATCGCGTTATTTTATATGATATAAAAACATGATATAAAATATTTTACATCATATAAAAAGATGATATAAAATGTGTTGACCAATCATCTTTCGATATTTTATGTTGTTAAACTAACGATGACATAAAACTTGAAATAAAGAACAAATTATGTTTTCAAGTAAGCATATAAAGAAATCCATATAGCCCCAGCATTAGGTTTTTTCCCCTTTATTTGCGCAAGCATTCTACATATACAAATATTAATTAATGTCTATTAGCTTTAATGTCTAAAAAATTAAACAGCTATTACAGTTTGAGGGTAAAAAGTAACAAACTTTGGTTCGCACTAATTACATGATTTTAAGTTCGTGAGTTTAGTAAATTAACATGGCCAATAAATGCAATATCACACATTTTCATTGTATATGGAAGCATTGGATGTGAAACATGAGACCGTATAAAATTACATATATGGTTAAATGTTTCAAAAAAAAATTATATGATGTGTCCAAGGTCCCTATTAAATACAGATTCTGAGTAAAAAGTGGGATTCTATACGACGGAGTGTAATTATCGGATTCAGTTAACCTGATGTTTAACCGCGTACATTGGCGAACAGCATTTATCACAATTGTAAAAAAAAATAAAAAAAAAATGCTTAAAATTTTCACCAAAATTAAATATTGGGTGACAAAGGGGTTGTCAATTCACCCTTTATTGTTTTAGACATTTGAACCTTTACCATTGACTCCTCTCCGCCCTAAATGTTACATATGTGTGTGCCCAGCCGTAAATACCCTAATAAAAAAAAAGCTTTTCCTTTTGCCTTTACTTTTACCTTGGGACTCTCTTTCGCCCTTATCTCCCTGTTAATTATGGGGAAATCTTTGGAATTATATAATAAAAAAAATATACATTTCTGTGCAGAGTTACATTTCGGATAAATGTTACTAGTACATTACCATTATATTACGGTAAGAAAAACTATGTATTAAATTGAAACTTGGTATATACATATATTTATATTGTAATTCTTTCATATTTTTCAAATTCATTAATAAAATTAGATCTATTGATGAAGTCCGCTCTTAAATCAAAGAATAAGAATAAGAAAATCAGCGCAGAAAATAGAATAGAGTAAAAAATGAATGATGATGATCTACCAAAGCCTATCTTATTAATCTTTACAACCCTCTTAAAATTTAGAGGAATATAAGTAGATAAGTAGATAACATAGTAATGTTCGTTAGTGGTGTCCTTGGATGATGTCATAATTATCTAGCATTCTTTTTCTTGCTTTTCCTTTTTTATATGTGCTTATTTTAATTTTTAGTTATTAATTTCTGCCTCTATATCTCTCTCTCTCTCTCTCTTTCTCTGTTTGATTTGTGGGCTTGCTTGGACGAACAATTTTTTCAAAAATTCCTACCTAATGCCTACATCTCTCTTGCTTGAGTTGACGGGATTAGCTGCCAATGGCACCCTAGCTGATGCTCCAGAGAAAGTTATCCCAAGTCTCACTTGGGTTAACGTGGCCTTTGCTTCTTCTTTTATTCTTATAAACGGTATGACTCTTTTAAGCATATTCAAAATATAATATATATATATATACATATTGATTGCACTGAATCGCTCATTACGTTTTTTTCTTTTAAATCTATATAACATCTAGGTCTCATTTCAATTCTTCTTGGACTTCGTCTTGAGAAGTCATTGATAATTTCTGCTATTCGATGTCTTATTCAACTCACAATCATGGTATAATTCACATACTACACTACACTACACTACACCACACCACACCACACCACACCACACTACGAACGTAAAAATACATACATACATACATATATATATATATATATATATATATATATATGCATGTTTGTATATGACTCGTGCACACTTGCAATATTAGTAATTAAAAGAATAAGAAACAAGAAATGATTTTATTTATTTATTTATTTGTTTTAAATAATTGTTATACTTAACATATAATTTTTATAGGGTTACATACTTGAGGATGTTTTTAAAGCTCGACATCCGGCCTTGGTTATGTTGATGACTTGTAAGTCTTGATGGCATATATAAACATAGGTGAACTAATTCTATTATAATATTCTTTATTATTTTTTAAAAAAAAACTTATATTTATGTTTTTCCCTTTACACCACCCTAGTTGTTCTTATTATCCTTGGTGCCTATGAAACTGTGTACAACAAGTCCAAGCTAACTTACAAAGGCATGGTAATAAAACAAAAACAAAAACAAAAAAACAAAATGAAAACCGATGAGATGAGATGAATTCAGTGCATGTGTGCGCTGATTTAACTTTAATGTGGTTTATGATAATATTACTACTACTACTATTACTACCACTTACCAATGGTAGTCTTATTATTATTGCGGACCTTGTGGGTTGATCAATCAACCGATCGATGAATTTTTCTTATTTATTTCTAATCATCTACATATCTTTTTTTTTTTAAAAAAAAAAATTGGACATGTGGCCATGTGTAAATTTCATTTTGTATTTTTTTTTGGAATTTATTTGGCAGTTTATGTCAGTACTGGTGTCAACTGGCTTTTCTACCCTTTTTATCGGAATCATTGGTGCAAAATGGGCCATGCGCCAAGATCCGTTTTGGATACCCGAGACATTTATTCCTACTATGGGCATGCTGCTGGGCAACATGATGAGCGGAATGGCCGTTGCACTCAGTAGCTGCCTTTCGAGTCTCACAACCAACAAGGAACACATGGAAACCTATCTGGCTTGTGGAGCCAGTAGATGGGAAGCAGGCCGTTCAATTGCCATAGAGGCCGTCAGACTGGCTATGCTACCAACCATCAATCAAATGTCCGTTATCGGACTTATTTCAATCCCAGGCATGATGACTGGTCAGATTCTTGGTGGTGCATCTGTCATGAATGCCGTCCGTTACCAACAAATCATCATGTTCCTGATATCTGCCAGTACCGCACTAGGTGTTCTTAGCGCTGTTGTTGTAAGTTTTCATTTGTATTTCTATTTTTTAAAAGAGAGAAAAAGATAGATATAAAATAAGGGGTTTAAACTCTTTTTAACTTTAATTTTTTAATTTTAATTTTTTAATTTTAATTTTAATTTTAATTTTAATTTTAATTTTAATTTTAATTTTAATTTTAATTTTAATTTTTTAAAAAATAAAAAACAAAATAATATTAATACTAATAATGATAATGATAATGATACTTATGATGATTGTGGCTATGATCTTGTCAATGATAATGATAATAATAAATTCACATACACATACATCAAGGCTTGCATTCGGGTGATAATTGACAGCCGTCACAGATTACGACCTGAACGTATTGAGGAAGGACGGGCTAGTTTGTTCCAGGACATCAAGGGCCTGTTTGTAGGTGGGTGGCACATGCTAGGCAAGGTCTTGTGCTGCAAGAGAAGAAAACAAGAATACAAAAAGGTAGAAGACAACGACGAAGAGGATGACCAATCTCAACGAAGACCTCTCCTGCGTTAAAGAGTCCATTCAAAAGTACAAATAAAAAGTACGAATCTGGACTTTAAAAAATGATACCTTGAATCACCACAATAAATTTATACACACACATACATACAGCCGTATAATATATTTGAAAGACAATTGAGCCAGAAAACGAGCAACAATATTTTTGACTTAATTTTATTTTATTTGGATCCCAATGATTTCCTTCTTCTGCTTCTTCTTCTTTCTTCTGTTTCCTGAAATAAAGAGGAGCAAGAATATATATATATATATATATATAGATACAGATAGATAGATAGATGGAGGCTGAACGTATCAATCATTTCCGAGACACCGTTCTTGCTTCTAGTGATGGCGTTCGAGCAAAAAAATGGTTATTGGCTTATCACAGAGACGTAGTTCAATCCAAAGAAAATGTCCACAGATCGTTCAAAAGAAAAGAAATTTTTGTCAACGGTCAAGCAATTGAAGAAACAAGAATCTTAAGAGAAGGTGATGTAGTAGAAGTCAATTACAACCAAACAATGGAAGAAAAGACCCGGATGGAGAACGTTGATCTTGATATTCGGTACCAAGATGAGCATTTGGCTGTTGTCTGGAAAGCACCAGGTCAAGTATGTTTTAAATAAAGGATAAAGTACCCCTTTCTCTCTTTCTCTCTATATGTGTGTGTATGTGTGTCTACAGACAGGTTACTTAATGGTTTGTACAGAACTTTGGAGATTATGAAAAGGCTATTTTATATGCTCTCAACCTTGATCATGATACAATGCAATGTGTGTTTATGCTTCAGAAAGCAGGCTCAGGGCTGGTAAGTATTTTGTTCTTTTGTGTATATTTATGTATAATATCACTTACATATTTGATAATCTTAGTTAATCATAGCAAAGTCAGAAAAAATTCAAAAAGCTCTATTGGATATTTATGAGTCCGGAAACATGACAATGGGAATGAGTGTAGTGTGCCATGGCAATGTCCCTAATGACTTTTTGTCCACAGTGCCAGATCTTGGAAATGTAGTGGTTCTGAATAATGTGGATCTGACAGAAGCAATGGAGAATGAAGATGAAGAAGATCTAAGCGTGATCGCAAGAACCAGGGCCAGACCATTTGATCTTGAATCAATAATCAGATCTATTACAGTAGAGACCATTACTCGATCGAATCAAGCAAACTACTTGTCTACACTCCATCTAGATCTCCAAACACCTCTGCAAAATTCTGAAATCCGACGCTTATTTTACCTGACTGGTTATCCTATTATTGGCAAGTCAATCTACACAAGATATCTCAAATCAAGCAGTAAAAAAGGTCTCTGCATGTCCTTGACTCATCTTGGATTTGTACACCCTGTTACGCAGCAGCCACTCGAGTTCAAGAACGCCGAACCCGTGAAGTTTGCTCACCTGCGCGAACGTGAGACGAAATTCTGGCAACGTCGTCGAGATGCTGAAGAGGAACAACTCAAGTACGCCGGTGTGGATGAAGTCGATAGAGGAGATACTAACAAACCATTGGCCTATGTGCTTGGAGAGAAGGTACGATTAACTTACAATTCATTTTGTAGTTTTATCCATTTCCTCAGATATGCACATATACACTACACATACAGATAATAATTTAATTGAATTTAATTTGATTGTAGAGGTTTTATGGACTTTGCTTTAAGGTCAACGAGTCATGTTTGGTACCTCGTCCTAGTTCAGAGATCCTGGTGGAGGCAGTGCTGGAATACTTGCCACAGGAAAAACAAACAACACGCGTGCTGGATGTTGGAACAGGGTGCGGAAACCTTTTGTTGTCCGTCCTTCATAATTCTCCGCAGAGTAGAGGAGTAGGTGTAGATATTAGCAAGGCTGCGCTGGAAGTAGCAACTCAAAATGCACAGCTGCTCGGTCTTGAAGATCGAGTTGGATGGCTGTGTAAAGATATGGCGTTGATGGAGGATCCTGTACAGCTATACGATATCCTAGTGTGCAACCCACCCTATCTTCACCGCAAGACCACCAAGAAGGAGGCCCAACAAATGGCTCGTCTGAGCCATGAGCCAGCCGAGGCTTTATTTGCAGGCGAAGAAGGGTTTGAATTTTATCGGATTCTTCATTCAATTGCTCATCGATTAGTTTGTCAGCACAATGGAAGAGTAATTCTGGAGTGTGGAAAGGGAATGATGGACAAGGTCAAAGATATCTGGTCTGATTGGAAAGTATTAGAAGTGCGTAAGGATCGTCAGGGTTGGGACCGTTGCTTGGTTCTCTCGAATGAGTAATAAAGTGTACTTTTATTTCCCGAGGATGCTCAATTATAAATGAGTGTACGGTTTTTTTTTAAAAAAAAAAGAAATGGTGTGGACAGACTAAAAGTTCAAAAAAGGGTTAAAAAAAGAAGGTAAAAATGTAAGCCGTACTATTGGATGAAAGCTTTTTTTCTAAAAAAAAAATGAAGCGACTCTGATTAGCTAGTATTTTTTTCATTGCCACTAGGATTGAGAAGATTATGCTTTTGGTGGAAGAGATGATATTATAATTAGTTAACTATTATTATAAAGAACAGGTAAAGAAAAGAAAAGGAGATGCTATTAACAGTTAGAGTGCTCATATTAAAAATTTAACCCATGAGAAATAAAAAATGATAGCGATAGGGCGCACCTTATTTTTTATAATAGACAATTTTTAAAAAGAGGACATTTTTTTTATTGAAAGCTTTAATTCTATACATGGTAATTTAAAGTCGTTTTTGTAACACGATACATCAGATAACTTCCTATATGACTTTAACTACTCTTTACCAAAAGTAGTAGCCTTGTCGTATATGTGTTTAACTTATTCACTTGCTTTGAATAGGGAGACGATTGTTATGATAATGAGAGGGATAGAGAGAGAGAGAGAGAGAGAGAAACAGCTGTTATTAACAATTGGGCAGTAAGATATCTATATTAATATTATTTCTAAATATAATGTTTTGTTTCCAAGGTTTTTACTGTTATAAAAGAAGATTTACGTTATAATTTACTTGAATTTGAGCTTATTCTATTAAAGTAAGCATGTCCAAAGAACAACTTAGTATGTTTACCGCCTCAATAATGCGCTTAAGAAAACATATATGAAAACCTTGTCGCAAGTAAGAGTTTGCAGAGACATGGAGAGAATCTTACATTATGTAACCAAATGGTAGACACAGTTTAACACACGATTTTACCCTTTTTGCTAATCGTATCCTAAACCTATGGGACAGATACTCTGGACAAGCAGATGTGTAGAGATCTGAATACTTTTTTTTTTACTGGATCAAGCTTATTTTCGGTATTTCACTCTTTACATTCTTTCTTTGGCTTTAATGTTATGCCGTGCAACCTTTTCGCAGTTGATTACTTGTCTTTTTGAGACAAAGGAGTGTGAGTTTTGAATATTAACTTTTTTCTACTAGTTATGAAAGTGTCTTTGAGGGTGGTCAAGATCATACTTTCTTGTATATAAAAGTGCAATATGTGAAATAAAATAAAGTAAAGTAGAAAACTCAAGACAAATACTCATATTTATACTAAACTTTTTGATATGCTAATATAACAATTGATATCATGTCACATATAGTGATCTTTTGCAAAGAACAAATTTATACGTTTAGTTGAGATTGTAATACATGTTAGCCAAGAGCCGTTTTATAAAATTTATGCTATACGATCTAAGAAAAATAGCAGGTAGATATGTCTTCAAGAATCCAAAGGATAGGGCCCAGCTTTAAAGTGGAAATGAAACAACAGGGTTAGAATATTTTCGCTAATTTTGTAATTCACTCGGCTTACACCTACGTTGATGGTTTAACGGATTAGCTAGCAAGTTATCTAATAAAGAGAAGGAGCTTTAAAGGCAGCATTTTATTGTATTTTATTTGAAGTCTGGTGTTGTTTTCTAGTGCTATACAGGCTCTAGCAGCGAATAGAGTCGCTTAACACAATATTAAGGTGCTTTACTCACAAAAAGCAAAGTAATTGAGCTAAATTTTTTATCTTTTCTCACTTAGAGCTAAAGTACATACTTTACATATGAGAAATTGGCCAATCTTTTTTTTTTGCAGTAGTAATTTTACCCTTTTTCTTTTTATTTCAGAGAATATTTATCGCAGTATTTTTGGAATTTCTATTATCTAGTTTTTCAATAAACATATTAGGTAAGTATTTTAAAAGAGTACAAAAGAAAACACCAGTCGTACTTAAAGTTAATGTCCGTACAGGTGAAAATATTTTATTGCGGATCTTTCTAGGCCTTGTTCACTAAGGAATATGGGTGGCCCAATAAGAGCTGAAGAATCAGTTGAAAAGAAAAACAGTAACCGCCTAAATATGAGAGGAAAGAAAGAAAGAAAAACATGCAAAAAAAGGAAAGATAATAGTCTGCGAAAAAGTAAGAGAGCACGGAAAAAACCCCTAGTCGAGGAAAACAGCTTTGAAAAAGTCTAAGATTAAGATAAATAATACAACTGGTAAGAACACAGATGGTATAAATATGTAAGAAAAAATAAATGGCATGAAAGAATTAAGAATAAGTAACTGGGTACTGAAGACACCTGGATTGGGAACGGATTTCAACAGGGATAAGAACTCCAAAGAGATATTTCGTTTAGAAACTCGGACGATCCATTTATGGAACCTGACTATACAACGGTACCAGACCAAGTCTGTTCTCATAGGCACAACCTCGGGTGGGCAAAGATGGTAAAGGCTAACGGGGAACGGTGGAGATATTGGACATAAAGTCCCAGGCCCGTACATGCGTTCAATATTTTGAGATTCCTTGTTTACATTTCTACTTATAAAATTGTCACATATTTCGCCTTTTCCTTCGGCTTCTGACTCAGAACTGTTCATAAAGAGCGCCAAAAATGGGTGACAGTAGCAGTGAGTCAAGCCAAGTGACTTGAGAGGTGAAATATTTTTAAAGATATTAAAAAAAAAAGAAAGAGAATAATGATCGATGTAACTTTTATGAATTAATGTTAACGAAATTATTTTCTAGCCAAAAAGAAAACGACTGCTGAGCAAATGAATGGCAAATGGGTGCCTAATTTCTGCACAGACTGGTACTTTCTATAATCATAGTGGAGGCTTTGAGAAGGCTAATGATTGGACCACAAAAGGTTCAAAACTCTTCCATCCCCAAAGAAGCTTCAAATTATCATGCTGCAATCTTCGTTACTTAGCCGCCCCTAGGACCATATGCCATTTTGTAGATATCGTATTAACTTTTTTTTTCGTCTGATAGCTCGGGTACGTTCCTCGTTATCTTCCACTGTGAATCTCTTTTTAACAAAATCAAGACAATAGAAAAAGGTAGTAATAAAACAACAGCCAACCGTATTATTATTATAGACAAACTTAATGGCACATTGTGGGTTGGCTATATAGTGAAATTATAAGTTCAGCGACAAGAAAATGAATATCGGTAGAAGAACAATTTTAAGAAAGAACAAATTAAAGAGAGCTAGTAAACTACTTTGGGTCATTTTTAGACACACCACTACCACTTCAAAGCTGATTTCAATGAGCGATACCGACCAAACCCCGCTGTGCCATAGTAAACTGAATGAACGCCTCATTAGAAAGTATACCATGTTTATCTTACCAAGGAACACAAGTATAATAGGACAACTCTCAAGTGTAATATAGTAGTACCAAAAAACATTATTAATAGCATTTTTAAAGACAAATGTAAAACCAAAATCAAAAAGAGACAAAATTCATAAAGATAATATCAAAGTCAAATGAGATCAAAATTTATTGTTCAAATTTTTATAAGGGGAATATAAGTTAAGTTAAATTAAATTAAGTATACTAAGATATTCCAGGCCATGCTAGTCCAGTCGAGTCCAGTCGGTTCCAGTCAAGTCCAGTCGGTTTTTTTTTTGGTCCATTTGATTTTTCTTTTGATCTTTTTTTTTGTCCAGTCAATATAAGCTAAGAGTGATAGGAGGAGGAGGAGGATTTTGGTATTGAAAAATAATAAAGGGGATAATTTGGACTTTTTGTTTTTTTTTCTTGTTTTTTTGATTCTTTTTTTTTGTCCAGTCAATTTCACAGAATAGTAATAAGAGGATGATTTTGATATTGAAAAGAATAAAAAAGATAATTTGGACTTTTTTTTTTTTTTTTTTGCTTTTTTTTTGTCCAAACACAGCACACATAATAAAGGGGATAATTTGGACTTTTTGATTTTTTTTTTTGATTTTTTTTTTAATTTTTTTTTGTCCGAACACAGCACACATAGTAAAGGGGATAATTTGGACTTTTTGATTTTGATTTTGATTTTTGATTTTGATTTTTTTTTTTGATTTTTTTTTACTTCTTTTTTTTTTGGTTTTTTTTGTCCAGTCAATTTCATGGAATAGTAATAAAAGGATGGGTTTTGATATTGAAAAGTATAAGAGAAGGGGGTTTTGGTATTGCTCTTTTTGCTCTTTCTGTTTTTTTTGAGCTTCTTTTTTTGAGCATTTTTTTTGTTTTTTGTTTTTGATCAAAGACTTCATTTGCTTTGTATGTATATGTGTAAAAAGGGATTTCATACCTTGTCCTAATCCAGAGTCTTGTTCCAGTTCGCAGCTTTGCTTCAATCCAGGTCCAGGTTCCAATGCAGAGTTCTTCCGGTTTGTTCATCTTTTTGCTTTTTTGTTTTTTTTTGTTTTTTTTTTTTGTTTTTTTTTTGTTTTTTTTTTGCTTTTTTGTTTTTTTTTGTTTTTTTTTTGTTTTTTTTTGTTTTTTTTTTGTTTTTTTTTTTGCTTTTTTTTAGAGAGAGAGGAGGGCTTAGTATATGCCTGTGTGATTTTTGGACAGGACTTAGTATAGGCCTCAAGGTCGGATTTCTTTTGATCCTTTTGGAGTGGAGGACTTAATATGTGCCTGATCATTTCTGATAGGTTTTGGTCTACGCCTCAGTTTTTGGATTTGATCCTTTTGGAGAGGAGGACTTAGTATATGCCCGTTTTTTTTACAGGACTTAGTATAGGCCTCGGATTTGGTTTTTGGTTTTTCTTTTGGAACTTGCTTTTGGAATTTTGCATTGGACCCCTTCTTGGAAATCGACTTGGCCTTGAGACTTGGATGTACAACCCAGATTTTGGACTTTGATAGAAATTGCGCCTCTACTTTTGTATGCATGTATGTATGTATATAAGTGTGTATATGTATGTTTGTATGACTATGACTATGACTATGAATATGACTATGTGTATGTGTGTGTGTGTGTGTGTGTGTGTGTGTGTGTGTGTGTGTGTGTGTGTATAAGAAAGAAATAGAAAAATAGAAATTGTGTGTGTTTGTGTGTGTATGTATTTGTCTACTTCTCTAATTGTGTACTTCTCTATTTGTTTGTATATGTTTGTGTGCTAGGACTAGTACTAGAACAGTACTTGGACAGTTTTTGGACATTTGGACTTTGACTTGGACAAGACTTGGAATTGGATTTGGACTTTGACTTGGACATAGCAATGGACCTTGGCTTGACTATTTTGGAGATTGTACTAGTGGCTATGGGGTTTGATCCGAGATAGAGAGATAGTTGTAAGCCTGATTTTTTCTCTGGTAAATATTGTTCTGTTTGTTTTTTTTTTCTGCTTTTTCTTTTTTTGTATCTTTTTTTTTCTTTTCATTTTCTTTTTATATTTTTTGTATTTCTTTTTTATATTTTTTTTCTTGTACTTCTTTTCTTTTTTGACTATCTATCTTGATTTGGCTTTGAATCTTGACAGTGACCTTGAGGGTCTCTGAAAAGCCTTTTTTCTCTGACGCGAATTTGGAGCCTGTATTTTAAATACAAAAAACAATTAGTCTATGTCTTGATATATTTCACCCTTTTCCCCGACACTTACATTAGCCTTTCTTGTGGGCCGGATTGATGTTTGCTCTGGCGCCTACTTTGACCTTTCTTGTGGGCCGGCTTGCCCTTTCTCTGGTGCGCACTTGGAGCCTGCGTTGCAACAATAAAAAACAATTAGATTATGTCTTGAGATAGTTTGGTCCTTTTCCTGACACTTACATTGGCCTGTTTTGTGGACCGGATTGGTCTTTGCTCTGGCGCATACTTTGGCCTTTCTTATGGCCCGGTGTGGCCTTTTTCGAGGCGCCCATGTTGGGCTTCTGGTGAGCCTTATCGGCTTTTGACAAGGTGTCTTGAGGACACGACATAGCCGACCATTTTGCGGCAGAAATGGAACCATCGGGTTCCCCGGCAGAAGCAACAGGAAGCAACAGGAAGCAAATGTCCGACCAGT